AGGTTTTGCCCCTGTTCTTGAGGAAATGTGCTGCAATCGCCTTCCTTACGAACAATAAAAGTATTGCAGAAGTTGTTAACATTATTTGGTAATCGGTTATAAATGAATCGATATTAATTCTTATTGCATAGCTATATGTATTTTGCTCTCTTGCTTTGTTCGCAATATTTTCGTGCGAATGGTGCAGACCGTTTTCGGACCCCATTATAATGAGCATAGATCTGTATAATATTGTATTTTCGCCTTTAAGAGTCTACTTCTTGGAAAGAGGTTGGTACTAATGTTTGCAAAACAACTTGAATATTTTTCATGTCTTTAATGTAGTTTCGATTGAAAAACACTGCTCTAGATCATTATTTTTTACTGCACTTGCTATGTTTAAGAACAAAGTTTAGTTTATTTTGTACAAACAAGATTGGTGACATCTATCAATACCATCGATAAATTCAGAGGTAAATAATCATCCTGAATAGAATATATCATCCTGATTATACATTTCTGATGCATAATCACTTTTTTCTTTCAAGGAGTTGTCATTGCCATTCCTATATGGTCAGCTAAAAATTCAATTAATTAAAATAATAAAAAAAAGACTACTTTTCGAAAACGTCTTTATAAAAGTATAAGTAAACTTGAAAATATACTCCTATATATGATATTATCATTTCCATTATATTTCATTATATCGTTATGATTTTATAATCTATATCACCTTTGGAGATATTATCTCAATATACCGCAATAATACCGATAAAATATCTTTCTGTGTATATAAATATATAATTGTTGACAGTACAGTTCTGAGCTTTTGGGCAATCGAAACATATCCATCGGACTCGACAATTTCCATGATTTTATCGACATTTTCGACAATTGGCCTTCCAGTGCGTGGTGCGTCTTTGACATCGAAATTGCCGGAAAGGCTGTTACTGTATCAGGACCATAAACACTATTCACTGTAAAATATGGTGTATTTTCCCTTTTTTAGTATTCATCTTTGACGCGCATTCAAACAAAACTTAAAAGCTATTTAAGAAGGAAATCCCATCTTTTTAACGCCACCTAGCCTAACTCGATCGGATTTATACAACGCGGGATACAGATAACTAAAGCCATCTATTGAAAAATAATGGATTTCTTTTTACTACACCTAATACCTATACATCTCTTTTATATATTTCCTGATAAGTCATGCACCACAAGTAAGCTGAATGCCCATTGTTGTACTATGATGGTTAATGCCATAGAAATAAATCATTTTATTAAAAAATACTTAAAAATATTAAATTTAAATAGTTATTAAATGATATCATAATATAAAATATGATATCAGAAAAAACTGGTAAGGTGTTTGCTTCACCTATGATATTTCCATTGAATCTTCATTGTCTACACAACACATCACTTGTTTTGAGTCTTAGTTTGCTCTTCCGGTTATTATAATATTATTCCTATATTAACACACTTGCCAATTACCAAGCCATGAGTCAACAAATGTAAATGATTTAAATGATATTGACCAACAACTCCGGTCCTTGCTTTCTTAAGTAATAGCGAACTGTATTCGAATAAGCGCAGAGATGCTGAAATGTCCAAATACTTAAATGGCAAATTAGGTTTCATTAAATCATCTCGTCGTTTTGTTTACTTCATCGCTGATCATTCATAGCTCATCGCCGTTTGCGGCACAATTAACTCTGAAAAATGTCGTGGAAAGCATAAATGATTAAAAATAAATATGTTCGTATTTCATTTTTGTTATTTGATAACCATAACAAGTTTACTATTTTTAGTTATGCTCAACTATGTTCCTAAAACAGGTCTTATTGCGTTGTGGCTACAAAATATCTGTACATCTTCGAATATGCAGTTAATCGATTCTTCTGTGTATTCAATTTCGAAAATTCATTCAAGTTTATTTATATTTTGAGCTTTATTTGTTTTAATTTAAGCTACTTGCATTGCTTCTGACGATGGACCCCACGCTGACGCACCATAAATACACGTTATTATACTTAATCTGGCACAAGATGTTATATTTTAATAAAACTGTCTGTGCCCAAAAATAGAATAAATCTAGTACACATCTTAGTTTTAATGTTATAAACCACCTATATGAAAAAATGAATACATATAAAAAAACAAACATTTGTAATGGATAATAACGTAATTGATTTTAATTATGTACAATAGAAAAACCGACTGGGATTCATTTCGTGAATATGTATATTGATTTGGAATCTAGAGTAAACCTACCATTAAGAACCAATAACGATATAAATAGCGCAATCGTACATCTTAACGATGTTATTATAAAATCAGTGGAACTATCGACACCTTCAGAGGTTTATAGCCAGAAGAGGAGTAATACGACGTCACTTATTCATAAGCTCCTTAAAAAGAAACGAAAACTCCGTAAAAAATGGCAAACAACTAGATCAAGTCAAGACAAAACGATCCTCAACAAAGCTTTAAAAACGCTAAAAAAAGTTTAAGGGAAGCTGCAAATAATGCAATAATAAGCTATATTGTTACACTAACACCTACATCGGAAACCAACTATTCGTTATTGAAAACTACGAGAAAGCTAAAACATAAAGTCATGAATCAACCTCCACTAAGAAAAGAAAATGGAACATGGGCTAGATCAGATAGTGATAAGGCGAATCTTCTGGCCAATAACTTTGAAAAGGGTTTTACCAACACAACTAGTAAAAAAACAGCTACTACTAATAGCAGAAAACCATTTTACATCACAGTCAACAACACGATACGACTTGTAACTATTGTGGAATTAATAAAATTAATCAAAAACAATAAATCCAATGGAAAAGCGCCAGTTTATGATTTAGTAACAACTAAAATTCTTAACGAGCTACCAACAAATGCTATTAAATTTATTAAAAATATTTTTAACACTGCAATAAGGTTGAATTATTTTCCTAAAGTGTGGAAAGTCGCTATCATAACCGCTATACCTAAACCTGGGAAAAATGCTACTCCACCGACTTCTTATAGACCCATTAGCTTATTACCTAAACTTTTTGAAAAAATTATCTACGCTAGATTTGAACCAATACTAAAAGTAATTCGAGCCATACCAAACCACCAGTTTGGATTTCGGCGCAATCATTCAACAGCACAGCAAATTCATAGAGTGGTGAACAAAATCCTAACAGACTTAGACGAAGGTCGCTTTTGTGTTGGTATATTTCTCGATGTTGAAAAAGCCTTTGATAAAGTAAGGCACAAAGGACTTTTACACAAGATAAAAAAAATAAGTCATCACCTCATATCTTCTACGAACTCATTAAAAGTTATGTCACTGAACGATGCTTCTATGTTAGATACAAAAACGAGTATTCTACAATCAGAAATGTCCAAGCAGGTATCCCCCAAGGAAGCGTTTTGAGACCCGTATTGTATCTCCTCTATACTTCAGATATTCCTGAACCAACCAGTAAAAACTCAATGCTAGCAACGTTCGCAGATGACACAGTCCTGTTTACCTCACAAACAAGCATCGCAGAAGAAACTTCCAAAATGCAACAAACAAACAATATGACTAAAAAATGGTTTGATAATTGGGAAATAAAAATCAACGAAAACAAAACTTCACAAGTAATATTTACAACAAAAACAAAATGTGATTCAACACCTATCATCCTTAACAACAAACCCATTCAAGTAACCGAATCAGCAAAATATCTCGGTATGCATTTTGACTCTAAACTAACATGGAAACGTTATATTGTGAAAAAGCAGTTACAAATTAAAGAAAAACAAAGACATTTGTATTGGCTACTGAATAAAAAATCTAAACTAAGCTTAAATAATAAAATCCTACTCTATAAAATGATAATTAAATCAATATGTAATAAATATGGAATCAAATAAATAAAAAAAAAAATTATATATAGAATATTTGACTTGAGCAAAACCAAAATTGTGTTTATGACTGAAGACGACTGGATCTCTTCACTCTATCTCTATCTTCTATCTCTATCTTTTTACGACTGGAATTCAGATATACTAAAAAAAATAACCACGCTTAATATTTAAAATCGCGTTGTAAACAAAAGAAACTACCAAATATGGCATATATGTATATCGCCTCTATGCGGAATCTTATGACGGCGATATATCTTTATATGTCGTTATCTTTAGTAGCCAAAATTCTGAAGTCTCTGATATTAAATGAAATATCTTGTCACAAAGAAGCGTTCTAGGAACATACTATGGTGGAATAGGGAAACTGAACACTTTGCGCAAAAAAGCTCGTTAGCTCGTTAACAGAGCAAAGTCCAGCGGATATTGGGCATCATATAAATGTATTTTAACAGCTTACAATTAGAAATAAAGGAAATCAAAAAAATAATCATGGAATCTAAGACCAAAAATTATGGAGTTAAATAAGGCTAAGATGACCCTTAACAAGATTCATCGAATAGCCTATCTAAGCAGAAAGGAAGCAATGAGAACGTGCCCCCTCCCAAACTACCATTACCTACCCATATCCTAACCCATATACACGTATTTGTAATTCCCTTCATATTATCTGCTCTGTAGATATCCGCGGGTTACAACAATACGACATCAACAGAGCAAGAAAAATGTAAAGTTTAAAATACTGATGTAAAGGTGAGAATGTTGTGTGTAAAGAAAAGTGAGGATAATAATAGGTGCATGTAGGTGTATAAAGAAAAGAGCAGAAAAGGATTGAGCAGGATGAGGGAAGGAAAAGGGTGTTTCATGTAACGAACTTGGGTTAAAGCAAAGAAATCTTTTCACTTCATCGGGATAGAGTTACAAATCAATAGGAATAAAATTAGTATGTAAGTTAATGCATAAGCACATATGAGCGGGCGACGGCATAGGAAGTAAAGCTGTAGTTGGGCCATACAATAGAATCTAACGTTTTTATATGATGTCAGCGACATACAATTCTATTGGAATTTTTAAAAAATAAAGTTAAAATTTATTTTTTATTGCCAATAGTTGGCTATTTAATTTAGTTATTTAAAAAAATATAAACCTTTTTGTTATTTATTATTTTATATAAATGTCGTGCTCTCAGTGAAAGCTGCACATAATCGCATTTTTTCACCAGTAACAATAGCACGCAAATATTGTGGGCCAATTTCATCAGATTCTGCTGAATCGTTACTTCCTTTTGTACGCAACACATACTCCTTCCTTATTAATTTCGAGCTACCATCATTCAATTTAATATCATTCATTGCACTGCAACAGCCGTTTTTAAGTATTATTTGGAAAACCTCCTTTATTTTTTCTAAATCATTGTTGGGGCTATATTTATGCTCGAAGCATTTGTAATTAAAGAAATCAACTTCTAATGCGTTGAACTTATTTAAAATATCTTTTAAACAAGATGCGATGCAAGATTCGTTCTCTTCTCTTATTGTTTCCAGAGACAGCAATTCTAAGTCGTTTAATAATAGAAGCGTTTTCTCACTGAACATTTGTAAAACTCCAGATGTATTCAGTATGTCTTCCAATTGCAGTAAAGCCGAATGCAACAAAGGAATTATTGTTAAGTCAAGAATCTGTCTTATTTGTAAAGATTCCAGAAATTGCAGTACTTTCAATGCTTCACTTGTATCATCGAATAAACGTTTCTATGAATAAAATTTTATTAAAGAAATATTACAACAAAACCAGATATATATTACTTGTTTGCATGCAGGTACTGCTTGAGCTTCATTCCAAACTGTTAACCAAGTGTTTCCAGGTGTAACCATACGCGTACTTAATTCACCAACAGGTTCTCCAGACTCTGTTCATAAAATATTGACTTTTTATTTAATTGTTGTTTATTGGTGTTTAGGAAAATATTACAAACCGTTAGTTGTGTCAATCCAATCTCTTGGACTGTACCAACGTATGAAATCCTCCATTTCTGCGCTAGGATTTGCTGCCTTGAAGGCTTCCATATCAGATAATAAAGATGGACACATTATTTGTGTTTTTGTATCTAAAAAATAATTGTAATTTGTTTTTATATTTGTTATATGATTCATTTTTATTTTTATTTTTGTTTCAAATTGTTTAACATTAAACATTAGTATTAAGATACTAACCTGAATCGTGTTCTAATTTCAATAGCAATTCCGATTCGTTGTTTAATTGATCTTCTGTTTTTATCACAGGTTCTTGTGTTACTGGAATATACAAATACTCATCCTTATTTAATAATTTCAGATTACCTAAACGTTTCAATCTGCCCTCTGCTTTCGTTGATTGTTTACCTGTCTCCGACTTTATGCCATTATCAAAGTCTTCATTAACGCAATCATAGAATTCGTCATTTTCATTATCTTCATTGTCGTCATTATCCGATTCCACAACTTCCATTTCCGTGGTACTTTTATTCATCTCATTAGGGAAGTCTCTTTCTCTTCTTCGCTTTATACAAATATTTAACATTTGTAGTTTTTGATGCAACAAACAGGTGCGATGGTCAGGAAAACCTGATCCAACTCTGAAAGTAAACATTTTAAGATATCCGAAATTACAGAATTAACATATAAAACAGAAATAAGAGATGGAAGGATAACTAAAATATATATATATATTGTATTCACATTAACAAGTTACAGAGATACAAAAATTACATTAATATGTTAACCGCATTAAAATAAAAAATAAAAATTAAAAGTACAAATTTTCTTCGATTTGTAATCGTGAAACTTGATTTCATTTATCTGTTTATATATGTGGTTTTCTATTGAACTTTTACACACTTTATTTGAAAAATTTTTGTCCTAAGTCGAGCAGATACTCACTTATCTTTATGTGTTTTTTAGCGTTTGCAGTTTCTGTCCTATAACTATTATTCTTTAAATATAAAATAATGAAATCAATTACTTTTAATAAGATTATACGTAACATACCAGAAACAAGATTTATTAATTTAAAAATTCTATTTTCAGGTTAAATAGACTTTATATAGTATCACATATAGAATAACAATTTCAACAACAACATGAAAGGCGTATCTTTTTTGTTGATATCGCTCATAGTCATTTTTCGATCAGCATTCAGTCAATGTCCTTGGCAAAAGGATGTGGAAGAATTACAAACGTCCTGCATTTGTGCCTATAACTTGGGACGAGAATTATCTGTGCAATGTGATCAGGTATGTAAATCGATTATATCGAGAAATCACAACGTTAACATTTTATTTTCTCACTTACAGGTTAATTTTCTGCTACTACTCAATGCACTAAATAAGTTTGCCACACAACAACCTATAGACTTAATATATATAAATAATTCTACAGTTGGAGAACTAACAGACAACATTTTCGCCAATCTCAGTGTACACAATGTACAAATGTCAAGTTGCAAAATTAGAAAAATAACTAATGATGCATTTAAAGGCCAAGAAAATGCACTTAAAAATCTTAATCTTCAAGATAATCTTCTAACTGAGGTTCCAATAAATGCAATAAATGCGCTTTCGTTATTGAATTTGCTCGATTTGTCTAAAAACCGAATAACAATTATACCAAATGATGCATTTATAGGTTTGACAAAGCTTTCCACACTAAAACTGAATGACAATAACGTGACTTTATCGCCTAACGCTTTTCGTGGCTTGGAACAAAGCTTAAAGAACCTCAACTTAAAAGGCACACGACAGCGACGTGTACCCGATAGCATACGAGGTTTAAAGGGTTTGGCATTTTTAGATCTTTCACTAAACGGTATCAAAGAACTGCCTGGTCCTGGTGGAATACGTATTTTTGATGGTTTAGATTCACTAACAGCTTTAAATCTAGAACGAAATTTAATACAAAGTTTAGGCGAAACTGCTTTTGCTGGTGTTCGGAAAACATTGAGTTCGTTAAGTTTATTAAATAATCTTTTATCAGAGTTCCCGGTAGGAGCTGTACATTCACTAAAAGAATTACGAGTTTTGGACATAGGTTTTAATTTACTAACTACATTACCAGAAACAGCATTTCGTGGAAACCCAAGTATTACTTTGTTAGCTTTGGATGGTAATCCACTGACAACAGTCCCCGAAAAAGGTTTTCTACATCTTAACTCTACGTTGCGTGGTTTGTCTCTAGGTGGAAGGTCCTTACACTGTGACTGTAAGTTAAAGTGGGTAGCAAAATGGATACGCAATGTCGATTTACAAGTAAGTTAATGATTTTTAACATCACAACCAAATGACCAATTTCAAATCCGCTTATATTAAAAGGTAACATCACGAGAACGCAATCCTCAATTCTGTGGTTCTCCAAATCGATTTCGTGATCGAGGTTTTTATTCTATTGAACCTGAAGAGTTTACTTGCACAGACCCTACACCAGTCGAATTACCATTACCTGCACAACGACCAACAATAGCATCAGAACCAATTAAACCAAATACAATTTCTGCTGGTAATCATACTTCGCCATTAGAACCTGTCAACAACTCTGACACGCGTAATACTTCACTTACTAACTTACCTCCTATAACTGAAACCCGGCCTCCTGTGACTAAAATAGCACCAACAGTAGGCAAACCAACTATTAATACTCCAACAGTTCCAACAACAGTAAGTGGAAAAAATATTAATTGAAAATATAAAATTGCAAATTAAATGTATGAATATTTTAGACAAAATCTATCGAAGCTACTGCATCTACTATAGCCGGTGCTCCTTCTACAAGTTCCACACATCAAGTAAACAATTCTCGAACTTTGTTAAACTCATCTGCTACAATTGGTTCGACGGCAGTTGCAACTAGCTCTAATGTCAAGCATTTGCCAGGTTGGCGACAAGGCACATCAGCACCGAGTTTTGACACTGGAGCCTCCAATAAACAACAAAGACCACCTTTAGTCATAGGTTTTCCACCAGCTCGTGGTAATCGCGTCGACGATGCCATTGAAGTGGAAGTAACAAATGCATTTCGACAAGATAATTCAGTTATCATACATTGGGACTCAAATGTAGTTAATATATTAGGATTCCGCGTTGTTTACAGATTGTTTGGAGAAAAATCTTTTAAACAAGGTCCACCTTTAGAAGCTACTGAACGAGAATTTAAAATTAAAAATGTACCCGCTCAAGAATGCATAATTGTTTGCGTGATATCGTTGGAGGAGTTGCACGTTACACCCGAGACAGTACCCTATCAGCAATGTCGGGAGGTGCGTACGGAGTCATCTCAAACCTCAAATATGGACAAAATAACAATTGCTGCAAGTGCTGGTATTTGTGGAACGATTATAGTAGCAGTCATAGTATTTATTGCAGCAAGCAGGTAACCCCTAAATTAAAGAGTATTTTTATTCATAAAATCTAATGAATAATGTACCTAGACGGTCCCAAAAACTACAAACAACACAACAGAAAAGCGCTTTGCCTATTGCACGTTTACCGGTGAACTGCTGTGGACCAGCGAGCTCACCTGGACCACTGGGTTCAATTGCAACTTTGTCAGCCTTTAACAATAAGGTATTAGTTAAATAAAAAAATATATAAAACTTCTTTTTTAGTCTTGAAGGATATTAAAGCACATGGTGTTCTTTCACAAGATATATGTGTAACCAAATATAATCAATTTTAAAACTCTAGACTTGATAGAATTTGTTCAAAGAAGCCAAGTAACAAAGCTCCATTAATTTAACGAGAGCAACCTGTTTATTAAAGTTATATCACCTTTGAAAAGTCTTGTAGCACTATGTATGTGTTGTTTGTTAGAGTTTGTTAGGACAGACTATAACAAAAACAACAACAATATTAAATCTTAACAATTTTGTTTTTTGATTTTATATGAGAACAAGTATAGGATTTTTAAAAAACAACCACTATAAACCAACTAAATTTTATTTTTTGTTCACAATAAAGGAATGGGATCAAGTTTCAGCATACAGTGGAAGATCTATACCAAGACCACGTATCTACTCCACAGATAATCAAGATGATATGCGTAGTCACATTTCCGGAATGCCTGTTAAAGTCGGTAAACCCCGGTAAGTGCAAATACAAAATTTTTTTACAAACTCTAGATGAGACATTAAATATGAAATAGCAAATATTCTTCATAGTTTCCATTTTACATTAGTTTTTGATCTCATTATAAATCACATTCTCATTGAAAAAAAAAATAAACAGTTCCATTGCTGATGGTCAATCACAACATAGCTTCTCAAATAATTCACATCGCGGTTATTTGGGCTCAGCATTTCCATCAAATTTAGTTAATTATCGTCCTGAGTTACGGCAATCCCGTCAATCATTAGCAGCAGCTTCTGAAAGAATGTCAAGAGCATCTTACGCTGGTTCAATTCACGGTCCAACAAGCATAGCTTCAAGTACTCGACGTTCACGGCCACGTTCCAGATCTCGTGAAAACCTAAACATTACACATATACATAATCACCGTCCGGGCAGTAGGTAAGTTTAAAAGCCTAATATCATTTTATGATTCAATCATTAAATCAGTAGGTTCAAAGTTCAAAGTTCAAATGCCTAATATAGTTTAATGATTCATATCGACATACATTATTGCAAGTCTATCACCAATAAACTCCACACGTTCTCTACAAGATTCATTAAGTATATATAGAATTTAAGTTGTACAACAAACAAAGTCCAAGCTTTCATAACAACAAGGTCTATTAAGTACACATAGAACACAAGCGTTTCTTTAATAAAATTCAAACTTTCCTAACAACAAGATCCTTCAATTATTGCATTAACTATGAAACTCATACTATACAATGCATCACAATGAACATCTTATAACGCGTAAAAAGTTATAAATAAATAAAATATTATTTGCATATATCATCTTCTGCTTTTTCACATAAATGTCAACAGTTTTTATCTATTTTGTACAGTACTGACTTGACATTGTTAGAGAGAGGATTTTTGTCCGTATGTCCGTCAGACGGATGGTTTCAAGGAAATTATAAAACTACCGATAATAAACATATATTAGTGACATGTAACTCAATAACATTTTATTTCAGCTACAAATCGAAAACGCGACCATAATTGCAACTACTTTATCATATTGCATTGTACTTTGGAGTTCACAAATTTATTGGTTTAATTAGAAGAATATCCTTTTTATTGCATTTCCTATCTTTTCCTAAAATGTGAAGAATATACCGTACATATAACACTTGTATTTGTTTAAATTGCAGATATTCCACAGCCGGATCTACGCATACATTAAATAATTACTGCGACACATCTGACAATTGGACCGATCACGATATGGAAATTTATATGGCTCGAAATCCAACAACTCGAAATGGATTAGTGCCCTTATGAGAATATGACTTTACATTCTGTAATCATTTCAATTTTATATTACATTATTAATGGGACCATACAAAAATTAAAAAAACAAAAGTGTACATAATTTCTGATTGTATCTATAATAGTCTACAATTAGTTTAATACTTTATAACTTTTTAGTCTGGGAAAACTTCCATGCTTGCTTACTTATTAAATGTGAAGCATTTCGAATAAAAACTAAATGTTAATAATATTGTTAACAATTTATAGTTTTATAAAACCAATTGTTTTCCTCTAAATCCAGTCATTTATTCTCAATCAATTTAAATTAAATAATATTGGTTTAATTAACTTTTAATACTCAAAACTTTTATCTTCTAATATGTAGATGAAGTGAAATGTCTACTTTTAAACATTGTGTTGAGGTTGGCACTTTGCAAGACGCGTTGCAGTACTCAGGATATTAAAAAACATATTATTAACAAAAGTGAGAAGAAAATAATAAAAATATTTAATAATAACAGCTTTAATTATTTGTAATTTAAAAAAAATAAATATATTCATATCTTCGACGCACTCAAAGTGACCCAAATAACGACATCTACATTTTTATTTTTCATGGCAATAGGATACTAAAAAGTGTAAAATTATGAATAGTGCCGGAAAAGCAGTGTTCCTCTATTAGGAAAATGTAGTATTTAATTTTCAACATATTTTCTAAAAAAAAAAACAAATCTTATATACCATTTAATATTTATATTTTGAATTTTTTTTTTTTTGTAAATTTTAACTATTATATCAACATTGCCTGCACTATCCAAATATATTTTTTTAAAGCAACACTTTTCTATTACTCATATAAGTTAACTGCAATCTGTATAAAATATATAAAATGATTAAGTCGGACAAAAATATTCTCTAAATAGTAGAGTAAGTCGCTCTACTAGTTAAAAACTATAATGAAAATGTTCAGAAATTTTTCATACATAGGGTGCTTTATATATTTCTTTACATTAACTCTCTATGTAAGATTTTTTAGGATAATTTAATTAGACACACAATTAATCAAATTTTTTATGATAAACAATAAATTATATTATACAAGACATGTTGTTTATATACATAAAACAAAATTACTTGAAATGCTATTTAATCAATGTAAAATAATTATATATATATATATATATATATATATATATATATATTATACATTTCTATACAAATAAGCTATATAATAAATACGACTAAATTAATGATAATATTTAAGTACATGTTATTATATACACTAAGTTATGCTAAGGTCATACATATATAAACGATATTGTTGATTAAGGTGTTAAAACATCGAATATAAATAATTGTATAAGAATAACTTTGTTTAAATAAAAAAAGAATAAAATTGTATAAAACACTAAAAAGTCTCTATATTTTCTAAACTGAATAAACAAATTTTAGCAATTTTATAATTTCGTTAATATTTGTTTTTTTTATAATGGTTTTTATCTATTTCATATCCGGCTACATGTCAATTTTTGTTAAAATTAAAATTCAACACCCCAGTTATAAATATATAACATTAACTATTTAAAGAACAGCTTTAAAATAAAAATAGGAAACTACAAAAATAACTTTCAATTCGTGGAACTTGTGCTTCCAAATAAAGCTGTAGTTAATAAAGTTATTTTAATTTAAAAAGCATGGTAAGTGCTTTGGGTAGTGTCACTTACAAATAAAGTGACAAAAAACTTGAAACTTGAGCATTGAAAATTTGTGACTGCACAAACTTGTGGAAAAACACGATTAATCTCATCGTTTCTAATTTGACAGGCACGAGTTCTAAGTCTTACGCTTGCAGTCCAACATATTATATACGGACGAAAAATTAATTAAATAAAAATTCGAATATTTCCTAAAATCACTGACGATAAGTACTTGGCAAAACTCGAAACAGCGTTGTATGGTCAGCCAAATTTTAATAAATTAATAAAATTTTTGTTGTTGCTTCTTTATTACTGTATGAACCCTTCCAGTTTCCTTTCGTCATAAAACGCGTCACATTCGACAAAAAAAAATAACATTAATTATTTTTATGTAAACTTATATGGCAAACTACTAAATCAAAATATATATAATATATAGTCAAAATATATATAATATGTAATCAAAATATATATTATATTATAAAATTGTGTCTTAAGCAAACGAAATCAAAACAAAATATATAATCAAAATAATGAAATATTCTGTATTAATATTACAAATTGATATTATTACAACTTACCCAGGTATATCCAAATAATTATCCCAGAAATTTCGCAAATTTCTTGTAAATGCAACCCACAATTGAGCCATGCCATTAACACCACCAAGATGAGAATTACAAGTTGCCAATAAACAACTCAGGCGGTATACAAGAGAATCTGGAACTGCTGACTTAAGACGCATCTGTGTGATAAATATATATATATGTATGTATATGTATATATATAATACAATTGATAATGTTACGGTATGCATATATAAACATAACTTCTTAGTTACCTTGTTATTCTTTGCACTCGAATATGGAAATAAATGTTCAGGAAATAAATAGAGTACCATTTGATGCAATTCGTTTTCATGAATAGGACCAGGTAGTTTTTTCGTGTACGATTGTGAGGTTTTCATATATTCAAAAGTCTTACGAGTCTGATTACTATCAGTATTATTAAAAAAGTTTTGTCCAATAATAGATTCCAATGTTTGTGTTACAGAACTTAAGTTCGTATAATCATTTAAACAACTTGACATGTATGAAGTAGCTCGTGCTTTTGAATAAAATATTCGCTTCGGTGCCTTTGATTCCGTAAAATCAGAGTGATATGGTGAATCAATAATAATGTTATCAGATATATTAAGCCAAATACAAACAATAAATTGTTCTGTTTCGGAACTACGAAAATATCCATAAGGTAGCGCAATGAAGTTGCATGTTGTAAGTTTTTTTATGTTTGAAGCCAAGTCCTCACTGTCACTTTTTGTTGTTGAATGTGCAAACGGTGGAATGTGCATTGGAATAAGAATTTTTACGTCTGCTAAAGCATATGTCATTCTAACAGCGACAGATATATTTTGTAAAAAGTTTTTTGGAAGTTTTTCTTTAAATAATTTTGAAATGCCCGTTAAATAACAATATTCAGCAGGAGCTTTATCGATTGCAATAACATTGAAATTTGTACGTAAAGTTTGTGATATGCCAGTACCAATAAAATAATTCCATTTTGGATTATAAACATGTACAAAAATCGGAACTAGAGCACCACTTTCAACTGCAACAACATTTGCTGAGCTTAAGAAATTAAATTCTGCCATGTTAAAAACATACGGAGAACTTTGAGTATGTGGACAGATTACAACGAAGCTCCGTAGTCCATAGAAACGTGCTAAGGTATGACACTCGTCCATATGCTCATTCAATGCAGAGTCAAAGGTATTTCTCGTCGACAGGAGATCATTATGGTATGTAGGTTTAGCGTTTTTCTTATTAAAGCTGGCATAATCTTTAATTTCTTCTCTATTCACATTTGCAGAATAATAACTAATAGTTATTTTTTTATTATCTATTTCGAGTTTTTCGCTTTGTGTAGTCCATTGACATTGAAAAAGTTCATTTTGTTGCATTTCTGTTTCAGATTGCTCATATGACAGTTCCCATCTCTGAAATAGCTCACCAAGTTGTGCGTTAAAAACTTCCCAATCAGATTCTGTACTAAAGTCTTCATGGTAAAACCTATCTTCATCAATTTCTTCAGCCATTATTATTACGTTGTAGTGGATCACCAAAATATTTTGATGACAACTTGGATTCGTTTATATTAAGCAGTGTTGCCAGGTGATTGTTATATTGAAATCGATGTGAGTATTAAGCTTTAACTAATAAATGTTTATATAAAGATTTTTATGTTTTATGTACTAACATTAATTTTGCACTAAAATATGATTGATATCCATATAATTCATAAAACAAAATTTGTAATATTAAGAATTCATTGCAGTAAGATCGGTATATTAAGAATACATATATAGGACGTGTGCGAGTTAGGCTAAGTTGCGTTCTAAATGATGGAAATTCTAAGTAGTGCCGATAATATAGTGATGTGTCGATACCTATTGATAAATGGCTATATGTGTGCAGTGCAAAAATCCCAAGAAAAGTCCTATTTGGTTTAGCATCAACTTAGCCTAACTCACATACGTCCTTAGTATTAAACTTTATAACTTAAATCATACAAAGTAAATATGTATGCATTCAAATATAATATTTATTATATTATGCTTATTTTAAAAATAAGATATGAAACAACAACACTGTTGGCTTATTTAGTCCAACATGTTTGAAATCGCTTAACTAATAAGCAACCCAAATCGCATGGTTGTCAAGACTACAATTTCGTCTATTGTGAATGATTTTTGGGAATATGTACAAAATTATTTGACAAATAATACTTAATTCTTTTTAATTTATTATATTTTTCTGTTAACATTAAAAAAAGTCTGAAAATACAAATTTTATTGATAATCGTGTAAAAAATAAAATTTTTTACACATAATTGCAAAGAAACTTTAACTTTAAATTTTATTACATGTTTTGCATATATAAGCCTCACAAAGTGTCCAATTCTTCCAGAGATGTCATTACAAGTAGTGTTTCTTCTATGTTGTTTTTTTTTTTGCCGTGTGTGAGTTCGAGTAAATTGATGGTAAATTGCAGGACATAGTAAATTATGTCGGTCTGTCAGCGAATGTTGATATTTACCAGAATTTCGAGTACGGTAAATTAGATAAAAATTTGATAAATTAGGTGTTACCATTGTGAAAATTTTATAAGATGTTTAAGAAATAAATTTGAAAACTTTTAACAAAAGTAATAAATAAGTGCAATAAATAAATTAATAGATATTTACGTAAGTGCAGTGCAGAAAACTTCTAGGAAATTATAATTTACTTTACATCAATTCACTCGAACTCGCACACAGCCATAATACACCTGCACCATTGAAACAAATCAAAAAAAAAAACCTGCCAATAATATTGTATATAATTGGCAACGCTATTGTTAGTCCCATGCTGAAATGACGGCACAAATGTCACAATATATATAAAAAATTACAAAAAAATGCTATTGCATTTTCAATAGACATTTATATATCATACAAATTTTTTAACATATGTATCTCGTCAAGTTGTTTTAAAACACAAACAATAAGTCAATCTCAAAATCATGAGTGTGTTTTGCGTGCACTGTTTTTAAAAAAATAAATAATATAAATGCCCAATATTTTGCGGGAGGTGAGAAAATCGCTTCTTTGATGTATAGATCTAAATTTTCAATTTGGATATAAGGTGAGTTACCTACAGAAAAATGACAAAGTAGTTGCAATTTTACAAAATATAAGAAGTTAAGCATATATAATTAATACTGACTTCCATTCTTACTTCAATCAAATTACAGTGCTGCTAATTTAGCTCTTACCCCGATTGATATTCCTCATTGCTCAGTTTAATAAAACTGTGTGGAATATTACTCATAATATGCTTAAATCATCGTCAAATACACAAGAATTGCGATTACCCCGCACTGAACATAATGGATCCGCATTATTATCAAATTTGGATACTCTCAAGACATCTTTTTTACCAGACCTAAGTAACAACATGGAAACAAATAACATTATAAGTACGTCCACGCAATTTTGCCCAATGTGCGCACAACATGTAGAACGTCAACATGCTGCTGAACATATACAGCAGTGTCATGGAATAATAACAGGCAATAGTGGAATTATAATGCCTCCTAATCTACAAAATGTTGAAGCAAATAGTTCAAAAATAGATTATACCTGTCATAGTTGCGATGAAAAGTTTTTAACAGCACAAGAATTTGATGAGCATAATAGAATTGTTCACCAAGCAACAACATTTGTAGCACGTTGTCTAGCGTGTGGTATGTATGGAGTTTCTACAATCAGTCCTCAGGAAAACGACGAATATAAATGCCTGCATTGCAGTTCAATTTGCAACGCTGCAAGTTTGGGCATTGCACAAAATGCATATATTGGGCAACAAACAGAAAGACAAAATGCAAACGAAGTGCCATCAATACAAACTGTAGATATAAACTCTTTATCTAGAACCGAAGCACAACGCCATCAAGCACAAACTTTACTTCAGCAACAAGATCCATTACATATTCCAATTCAACAACCTCAATTGCAACAGCAACAACATCAGCAGGAGCGAAAATCTGATGAAAGGCAAGAAGAAATACAACGTAAAGTTCCACCACTTACCGTGAAACTTAATAAAAACAATGGAATTGGCGATCCTTATCCTCATGTAGTTGTAAAGCAAGAGCCTGTAAGCGTTAGTGATAACGGCAGTGATGGTGCTTCAACTTCTATACCTGTATTTACTATTCAGCAGCCTGCAAATATCGGGTCTCCAACAAACACATCTGCTATAATTGGTGATGGTCTCACTACAGTTGTATCAGGAAATAAAGTGCGCCACAAGTGCGCTGATTGTCCGAAAACATTTAAAACTCCAGGAACACTTGCTATGCATCGCAAGGTGCACACTGGCGAGGCAGAGTAAACAAATTTTTATTTATTTCATTATTATTAGTAATTAATATTTTAAATGGAGTAAATCTGTGTTTTTTTTCTTAATTTTTGCACAGCGTTACGCCTAAAGAACGTCCTTTTACGTGCTCATATTGCGGCAAGTCTTTCACACAATCGAACACCCTTAAACAGCATACGCGCATTCATACAGGTGAGAAACCTTTTAGATGTGGCTATTGTGGCAGGGCGTTCACTGTTAAGGACTACCTGAACAAACATTTAACAACTCACACGGGTGAGAGATTTTTTTGCAAAATCAAATTCAGCTAAAATTCAGTCAATTCCACAAATCCACTTATATCAAATAAATTACAATTATTATATATATTGCTATATATAGATGAATTTATATGTAGTAATATATACATATATATTTATATATTATTTAAACGCTTAATAATTTAATTGGGCGAATTTCAAATATTAATCAAATTTTCACTTATAAATTGAACTCATAATTCTCTCATCTCATTGACATTGACTTCATTCAATTCAGGAGAGTCTTTTATTGAATGTTCCATCAATATTATTTAACAAATGTAATCATTCTGAGTTGACAATAAGACAGTAAGAATATCGGCTATGAACTTAGTCCAAGCTAATTTCATTTATAAACAATTTTCGTTTGCTTGAAAAGTTATACATTTTTACGTTCCAAATTTAAGTATTTACTAATTTAATTTAATGTTTTCTTTTTAGAGTGTGTTTGTTATATTAGACAATATGTCTAAAAATGTAGCTTATATAGCATTTTAAAAATTTCGATAAAAACTTTTGAAAGTATTTATTGAATTAATTTAGATAGTTCAGGGTCCAAGTAATATACAGAAATGCATTGTGCAAAGATGAAACTATTTTATTATTAAAAGATAAATTATATGATAAATTCAAGGTTGTTATATTTATGAAGTTAGATTAAATAAACCGACGAGCTCATATCAAATTAATCGTCATAAAATGTGTCTTTTAAGGCCAATAATTTAATTTTTAAGTTGCTTGTTTTTTTTTTGTTATATTTGTGATGCTTTAACAATTGAGTAAATTAGTCTAATAACTTTAACTCATAGGACCAATTATTAATTTCAAATATGTTATTGTATATTATATTAATTCATAACAAAAGAAGCATAACTATTAGAAGAATAATTATATATTAGAATAATTATATTTGTGATAAAAGACAAATAAATCTTTTCAGTATTTTTCAGTATAGAGCTACCAGATTTTAACTGTTTCAATAAGAATTAGGCCATTTGCATAAAACCTTTAAAAAATATGTGCTCTCTTTTTGAGCTTCAGTAATATATTAAAATTATTGAAATATTAATTGTTCAATCAATCAACCATTTGCAGTACTAATTGAAATGCATTAATTAAAATATCCATTACATATCTAAAACATTCATTATTGAATTTTATAGTTGCCTTTGCATATAACAGCAATATTTCTTGCAGGTACCACATAAGGAAAAATATTTAATTAATATATATAGAATCTGCTGACAAGGTTCTATAACCAAAAAAGTTATTGTTGCATTTATTCTTTATCGTCAAGACTACTATTTTCAGTTAGAACAGTTTTTTGGTCTTCCCATCACACAAAGTACAATAGTTTAAGTATCATTTAATGATTTTTAGGGCAACATTTGCTATTTTAACTATTTGCATTATAATTGCGATAAAGTTATTATTGTTATCTTATATTCTTTATGAAATTACTTTGGTTTATCCTTGTATATGACTAAATAAAAGAACTTAAGTTGATAGAATCCACCTAACAAAAAGCCTCCAAAAAGAAGAAAAAAACTCTCTTAAAACGACTATTAAATAAGGCACATTATACCCTAAGAAATGTGCGTGTTAAAAGTGCTTTTAAAATGTTCCTGCATAGAATTGTAGGAGTGCTTCAGGTTATATTTGCGAGTTTAGAGAAATTAAAATAATTTATTTTAATTTTTGCAAATCTTTTATTATCTTTATTATACAAAAGTAAAAGTTAATTTTAAATAAAGTAATCTTAACTTTAACATTTTTAACATTTTTTTATTTTGTAGAAAACAATTGTGTTTTAATATAAGTAATATAAGTTAATACTATTATTATTCAATAATAGGCTATGAATGCACTTCGACCAAAAAGCGCACTTAAAACAATTCTAGAATATTTAAAAACCTCGAAATTGCGGTGAGCTAAATTTTACCTATTTGATGTGGGACCAAGATCCCGCTTCCTAGGTAGTCAAGTCTTTGTCCTGTCACCGTTGGCAACTTATATTAATATAATATATTATTTCTTTTGTATGAAATGCAAAACATATTAACATTTTTACACTATCAGCTTTCATGAATTTTCCTAATACAATGTAAGTTACTTCCGAAAACAATTTGTGTGTTGTGTGTATGGCCAATTATTTATGCTAACTATCAATAACATATGTTTCGTAACCAATGCAACTTCGAGATCCTAGAACACTTCCAAAAACAAATCAAAGCCAAATGGTTGGCTGAAAAGTTATTCAATACTTACACTTACACATATATAGTTGATAGATCAGCTGTTATTGTAGTTGTATCCTATCAAGCAGATAACATAAATAGGGTTAGGCCACTATGTAAAAGAGGGGGAAGAATAGAATCTAATGGATAAGATGTTTGCAGAATGTGGAGTATTAAAAAGAGGAATAGTGCAATCAATGAGCCAGGTGTAAAAATCTCTTCGTTTTAATGTGGTGAAACCACTGATGGGTTCAATCATTTTAGTTTCAAATTTTTAGTACAAATTAATCATTAGTTATAAATGATTAATTAATACTTATAATTATTTTCGACCTAATCAAAGTTAATACCACCTTGATTACTTGAGAATTTTGATTTTGTAATATTAAAAAACTTATTTTACATTTCGGTATGACTGAGTAGCATATACCAATCCTTTCTGTATATGAAGACATAAGTCTTACAATAAATGTAACATGTTTCATTCAAAGATCTAAAAATACCCTAGTCTCAAATATAATAAACAACTCGTGTTTGTGAATGTTTAATATATATAACAGGTTTAGTCTTTCCTTGACTTGGCTCGGTATTACGTTCTATATTTTTTTTTTACTTTCAATGTTCTCTCATTACATATTGCTGTATGTATACAAAATATATTTGTACATGTATATATATAGCACCTTAAGGAAAATGCTTAATTTGTGTAAAGTTGCATAATTAAATTTATATAATTTATGCAATATTAAGCCTTTTCGCTAAGTAATTGAAATATTATACATTACTTTATTTTACAGGGGAGAAACCATATCATTGTGGTTATTGCGAGAAGTCATTCAGTGTGAAAGATTATCTCACGAAACATATTCGGACGCACACTGGGGAGAAGCCATATACTTGTCCGTATTGTGATAAACGTTTTACTCAACGCAGCGCTTTAACAGTTCATACCACGAAGCTGCATCCGCTCTAGGAAAGACCAGAACGAAGAATGCATATAAATTCATAACATAAATTCACATCCTAAAATAATTATGCATTAAAAGCTTTTAAATGAAAAAGGAAAATATAGAGAGATGAGAGAGCAACGCTGTTTTTGTATAATAACTACTGCGTCAGTTGAATTATTTTCCTCTTTTCTAACTTAGTAAGTAAATAGAAAAATTAAGAAATAAACTATCTGTAACAGTGATATCCTCAATGTTATGTATAATTTTAAGCTCTGTTAAATAATTGTTGATCGTTGGTGACTTAGTCAACAGAAACACAAAGTAATCGATATTCTCAAGAACAGAAAAAGTCATCTGATTTTAAAACATGAGAAGAGTTAAAATCTCCTGTGCATTTTAAAAGAAAAAACTAGAACTCGTCAATATGATCTTTCTCAAGTTTGCGTTAGTAATCTTTACACTATATAGAGATTAAGGAGTGAAAGTTGTAATGAAATTTGAAGATTTTGGTTATAGACTTTATAAAAGTATTGGAAAGAAAAAGAAAAAAATCATAATTTACAAGATTAATCAGACATTGAAAATAATCATCACTACAAAGCCCAAGCCTATGAAGTGGGCTTTGTTTATTGTTTTATATATTTCTTAATATGTTTTATTTATTTTTTAATCTGTTTTACTTTATTTTTATATTATGATTTATTTTATTTCTTGATTTTGTTCTAATTTAATTTTATTTTAATTTTTTGTGATTCCTTAAAATTAAACTAAAAGTGTTAAGTTTTTTGTTCCTAAAACGTTTGTTATTTTAATTAAATTAAAATATAAGAAATGTACATTTTTGTCAATTTCGATATTATATTTCGCATATAATTTTTATATATACCAAAAATAGCAAACAATAGATATAAATAACCCTACTTAATTAATTTTTTGTCATTTGCCAAGCAAATTAATATTTGACAGCAAAGATTCAACTTAAATATAAAGCACCGAAATAACATTAATCATTACATTTAAAAATTTTCGTAGAATTCAGGTATAAACATTTTCAATGTTAAAAATGTTAAATATATACAATTGTCATTAGGAAGTTTATCCTTAACGTTTGACTGGCGATACATAAATAATCTTTGTGCTAAAGTTCAGATGAAATGTACCCTATATTTTAATTTGCCTATCTATAACCATTTTGGATCAAAATTGATAAAAACTAGCAAGTCTTGAGAAATATATGGTATATGTTTTATATTTGGCGATAATAATCAAGTGCAATAATGTATGTATGTGCAACACATCTTTTATTTGTTTTATAATATAAAAATTTTATATACATGTATGTAATAAATATAATGCAATTATTTCATTAGTATTTGCATTTAAAAACAAATTCAATTATATAAAAAAATCTGTAAAAATTGAGGATTTACTGATGCAATTTTGATATTATTGTATGTAAATATATATTTGTACGTATTAGATCAATAATTTATTTTCTCATTTATATAAATACTATATATAATATAAATTCATTTATTTTATATATATTGTTAAAATTAAGTTTTATCGTTTATGTGACGCAGTTGTTTGTAATTCGTTAAAATTTTTTTGTCAAAAATGTAAGTTAAATGCTTGTTTTATTAAATAAAATCTTTTTAATAGAGCAGGATCTCTATTGAAATATAACAGTTTTATTATAACAAAAATGAATTTGACTATTTTAAAATAAAACATATGTAACTATGTATTTTAAAATAAAAACACTTCAATTATAAAAATTTTTATTCATATTTTTAATGAAGCACTAAACTTAAATCATTTTATTGCATATAAGGAACCAAATAATTTATATGTATTAAAGAACAAAGAAGAATACATTAAATATAAATTACAATAAAATTTGACAAATCGCACAACTAATATTTATACATGTATAAACAAAGATTAGCTCAATAATATGAAAGATGGAAAGGTTAAATTAAAGCAATTGAATCTTTTTAATAAATTATAAACTACAAAAATAGTAGTGGAATATTTATGTATAAATAACTAGTAAATACTATTGTCGAGTGTTTCAATATGTAGACAAATAGTTCCAATGCATTTACTCCTCCGTTTATTGAGACACATGTAGGAGCCCAGCTTTTTGACTCGAAGAATCGCCTTGGTCGTCTGAAAAATTGGGTAAGTCTGGGAAATACACTCAACCGCACGTGTTGTCGTTTTTTTAGCTGTCAAGTGGTAAACATCATTAAGTATCAATGAAAGTGGACTTTGTCTCTCCTTGCACAGCGTTTGTTTACATTTGACAAGCTACAAAAGAGAACTAAAGTTTGATGGGATTAAATAAATAAGAAGCAAAAGAAATGATTCTATCTATAAGAGATACATTCAAACAATATTCAAAGCACCATTGCTTTTAGGATGATTTGAATTAAATATTTATGGAGTCCAAATCATTATAACATTTTCCACACAAGTGTTACTACCATAGAGTAAGCTGAAACTCGTCTTAACATGAATGACATTTTTTTTATATTATAGATAATTATGTTAGTTTAGACTTATTTAATGTTTGTTATGAGAAAGACAAGACAAGTACTACTTATCTGTTCCAAGAATTTTAATTTGAGCTTATAAATTCATTTTCATTTACTTATCGCTTTTTATGAATAAATTGCATTAGTCCTCTCTGCTTGAGTTCTTAACATAATAAGTAATTAGGCTTAAATAGACAAAAGCGTTTTAGTATCGCTATCATATGCAGTCTGACATGAAATCTTCCGTTATGGCTTTGTACAATTTTTTTTAACAGGCTCAAAAACTAAGAAAATGTTTTGTATTTTAATAGACATATGGACTCTACGATTCCGACGGGCCTTAAAGGTTCGTTTTCCTATTAATAACTACATATAAATAAGAACTCATATTAATAGAAAGTACATATTACTTTTTTTTTAATGATTTCCACTGCTCTCAAAATGGTTTTCATTTTAACAGACATACACTGCCATGCACGTAAATAGGGACAAGTATTTTATTACGAATACACAAAGATTTTACTAATCCAACTAAAGTAAATCAATAGACAAATATTTTTTTTTGTTCAGTATTGTATTTTGTATTGGATTAAAAGAAAAAACTTTTTTAAATTAACATAATATTTTTAAACATTTTTTTTTTCACGAGCTCTGCATATTTTACATATTTTTATATAGCACTTGATCCCTATTCCCTATACTAGAATTAAAATTAGTGTTCAAGAAATGGTATATAAATTTTCATGAATTGTAGACCTTACTTATTATTTATGTTCATAATTTAATTATTTTAATAATGTGTGGAGCCATCTTTTATGGAATTAACTTCATACATCCTATTAGGAAGAGAGTCATATATTGCCTTGATGTAATTTAGGGATACATACTTCGCTGCAGGCTATGTTGATGGCATCTGGTAATGCCTGTATGTCTTCGTATTGTGTCCCAGACTCATACACTTTTTTGTTAACCATTCTCATAAATTCTCGATTATATTCAGATCAGGAGAATAAGGTGGACAGTTCAGTGAAGTTACATTTTGCTGCCGAATCCAGGATTGTGGCCTTATCCTGCTGGAAAGTCCACAATAATGGTCTGAAAATGTTGTTTACCTCAGGAAACTCTTTCTCGAGCAAAACTTTGTAATCCGTTGCTTCCATTTTAGAGGACACAACTTGCAGCTTACAAGTTCCATAATATGATATGGCACGCCATACCATAACACCTTTCACACGGTTATGGTGACGGGACAGGAAGTGTTCTTCTTCTCGAATATTATGAAAATAGTAATTGGAACCATCAGGTCCATCCAAATTGAAACGTTTTTCATCTGAAAACACGACGGTACGCCTCGTTCTTCCAAGTCATATAATTTCGAACAAAGCCTTGACGAGAATCTTTACGTTGGGTATTAAGTGGTGATTTTTTTTTGAATTTTAAGCTCTTCGTTCTCTCCGCCGTTCTACAAAACGCGAAAGTGCTTTTTTGGCATTTCATATTATTCCCATACTTTGACGGATTTTTAAGAAAATTGCGTATTACACTCTTGCTTTTTCAAATTTTTTCAGCAATGGACCTGAACGTAGAATTACACTCCTTATACGCAATTGTTTTGTGTTAAAAGCAAAATTGAAAATAAATTACAACGGTAAATTATCAAGGTGTCTCTCTTATCTTCAAACTTTGCCTATACTCGATTCGTTAGAAAACAGCATACCACATGACAATAACAACAGTAGATTAATAGAAAACTATAACGAAATATATTCAATTACTTATCCCTATTCAAGTGCATGGCAGTGTATATAGGAGTGAACAGACAGACTAGCAGACTTACATCTCTTTAGATTAAAAATATATACATATATATACAAAAAATCTAAAGCCTCTCATCATATAGCAAACATTTGGACAAATATAATGTAATTATATCACATAATGTTTATTATATAAACAAGTCGTTTATTTAGAATAAAAAATTAAGGCATTACACACTCAAATCTTACGGCTGAATAATAAAACAGTACGAGAACAATGTGTCCATAACGTCAACCCATGTTAAAATTGTATATTAAACAATAAACCACTTAGGGATGCATTCTGTTTTGCTTCTATTGGTAATTTTATTTAAAGCGATAGAGAATTATAATTATTTGATAATGAAACAATATCTAAATTAGAAAAAAATTATAGTAAATATTCTGTCATATTGAAGGGTCAATAAACTTTCAGCAGGTAATTATATCATCATATATTGAGTTAAACGTGTATTCATTCACTCTTTTCGTTAGTGATTAGCTTTATAATAAGCAATTTATACTTACTTTTGTTCTGGATATTTAGATGCGATAAATGGAACTGATCTCTTCTTATCTCTGGAACTGAAGAATAAGCATTTTAAAGTTTCTATGCCTCATGTGCTTACTTAAAAAACTTTAATGGTCTATGATGTGGAATGAAAACGAACTATTTATGAAGTATATAATATATATACATTTACCACATTAAAGCCAGGATCGATGAAAAGAAAAGAGATGCTGTAAGTTTGAAGGAAATGCAGAGTACAATTTGTTATGAGTCTAGTCAAACAAATAATTAGAATCTTTATTGTCACTAATCAGTACCGTTGAAATAAGAAAACACAAACAAAACCGAAGTAGTTCAAGAATTATGGGGTTGTGATTGATTATGGCAGCACAAAAGATCAATCTGGTCGCAGTGCTACGCTTCGTTGGGAGTTGGTACCCCGTTCATTTCTAATTGATTATTGCAGTCATTTTTTGTGACAGAGAAAGTTGACAACGAAGAATTGATGAATCCATCAAAGCCCTTTCTTCCATTTTCAGTTGCTAATTTATTTGCTAAAAAATTTAAAAATAGAACTACATCAGCAGTGTTGCAAAATGCAATAATTCTTTACAGGAGTCAACCAAAAAAATCTTCACAATTTAGATTATAGTCTTTGGAACTATTTAAAGATATTTTATATATTCAAATCTGACAATCACTTTTAGCCGGAGTATGGACAAAAAATCTTTTAGCGATTTTTGCATGAAGCTAAGTTAATTAGAGAATTATAATTTTACATATTATTAAAACTCATTTGATATACAAAATATTAACAAATATGATCATTTCTTCTGTGATCTGAATTTCTGTGATCGTAATTCTACAGTTATTATAGACTTGTATTTTAACTCACCACTACCTTCAATGTCCAGTCCAGTCTCAACTTAAAGTTAAATACAATGCTCGGAAATAAAACAAGACAGGAATAATTTTATAATTAATACATTAGTTAATAAATTTTATTATACAAATAGGTTATGTGGGTATTGTTATATACTTAGATAAGTTATATTGTATAAATATAAATTATACATAGTTATATTCAGCATATGGCAATTTATATACATACATTTTAGTATTTAAAATACTAAGTTCATTTATTATACTTAATTTACTTTCAATTAATACAATATCTGCGTTAATAATAACTTAAATAAGTTTACATATATGTATATGTATATTGCAATATTTATTGTAAAAAGACTTATATACACATATATATGTATGTATGTATATATATATTCTGGTATATATATACTCGTATATTGCAGTAACATTTCAAGAAATTTGACAAGTACTTTTTCTATTTTCTTTATAATCAAAGTCAGATGAAAAGAAGGTACACTTATGTATCTATGTACCTATGTATATATGCTTGTATGTATGTATGTATGTAGTGAAAATAAAGATTTAAAGTTTTGATTTATATTTCCAGTATATGCTGTTATATAAATATGTGACATACACATTTACATATATATTTATATACATATGTAGGTGGGTTATCAATAATAATTTAATTTATAAATTATTGTTTTGACTTACTCAACATTTTTTATTGATGTTTCCTATTACAATTACTTTTAATTTATGTATAAGTATATATTTTGTATATGTATATATATCTATAACGGATAAAAAAATGTATAAAAAATCCTAAAAAAAACTCTTTTAAAATAAAGTAATAACTTCTTTAACTTGTGTTATAAAAGACTGGCATGATTTTAATTATATTAAACTCATGTCGGAGTATTGCGATGAGGATAGAATACAAGACTACGCCAAAAGTTTTCGAAAATGTTGTATGGACACATATTCATATGATAAACTATAGTAACAGCCAAGATAACATTTTCTATAATTATTCTAAATAGTTTCAATTCAATAAACTTTTTTATATATTATTTTAAAAAAAATATTTAAAAAAATATTTAAAATAATATTAAAATTGTTGATTATTAAGATATTTCAAACCCTTTGAAGCTATTGAATCTAGAAGAATGCATAGCTATATAAACTCGAAGGTAATTAAGTAAAGATTTATATGTTTGATTTCAGCAAAACACTATATTTTTAACTGTAGTGAATTAGAAATATTGTATTCTCCATTCAGAAGTATAATTTATTGATTATACTACCTTACTTAAGCCTAACCTCTTGATGAATATAAACATAGAAAGATTTTCTCCTAGTAATTGTAGTTAATAATTTATTTTAAATTTTAACCAGCTTTTACTTTCGAAAGGATAGTCATTCTTTACAAAAAAAAAGTCTTACCTTCAATTATATAAATATATAAGTGCGTTTAACGCTTTAAGATAAAAATATATCGAGATACTCCTAAGGTCTTTCTCTTAAAAATACCATTAGCATAATGAATGTAACAAAAGAGAAGAATTTCGCTAGCAGAACAACTAATGCGAGTACACAATATTGCATTATAAATTTTTATCTAACTATTGTATAATATATATAGTATACTGTATCTTTTCCACAAACATCTATCGAAAAGAGCACTGATTGGCATTATCAGGTTTAAAATTAAAAAATTGTCTTTAAGCAGTTTTTGGTGGTAAAAAAATGTTTGATATAAATACAAAAATTTTCAAAATTATTATAAAATGATAGATCAATATTATATTTAATCTGAAAAATTTCTTAATAATAAAAAATAAAAATTAAGCATTTATAAGAATATGTATGTATACATATATATCTCATCAATGGTTACTATAACGTGGGTGTGGCTTTTACCGTCTTAAAGATACAAAAAGAATTTGTGTTAAAAAAAATTATTAGAAAGAAAATTATATTATTTACACCTATTTATATCACAATTTTTTTTTACTAAAAGTAATAGAAGTTAACATATTTAAATAAATATGGCAAAATATTTAAATAATTAATAAAATAATTACTTGAAAACAGGCAGGAAATGAAACTTTATTTTTTGTTTAAACGAGTATATACGCCTACAGCGCACGTAGAAACTCTTTCTGGATTTACGTGTCCCCAAGCTTTATACTGTATGCATTCATATAGAAAGTAGATGTAACAGGAGGCTATAATGAACTTTCAATGAGATATGTTAATGCTGATATTATTCCTAGAATCGCTCTCAATCAAAATAATTCTTGAATAATAATTACAGAGACGAAATAATAGTTTAAGCATAATTCATAAATAAAATAAAAAACTATTCTTCTAGCTATTTTAGATAAAATGGCTTAAAGTTATTATTTTCGCAAAGAATATTGTTATAAACAAAGAATCATTATACTACTTTTACTTTCAAGTAAGTACAAATGAAATAAGTGTACTTCACTATTTGTCCCACTAACTTCTAATACCTACATACCTATATCACACTATGAATGGTTTCAAAACCATTCATAGCAAAAAGAATGGTTTCTCTCATTAATTTATTTGTTTATAGCTTATATCTGCGCATTTATAACTTCTCATTCATACTTGTATAAAGAGGAGTATTAGAAGTATTTCTAGAAAACTAGTAATAGTACTAAGGGAAAAAGGAAGGAAAGGGCTCATAAACCAGATTCGAGATAGCTCGATAACACAGAGCACATTTTTCTATCTATCTACCTACTTATGCTTATATCACACTTGAAAGAGGGAAATGCTTGTGGTAGTAAATGAAACAGTGAATGGTTTGGAAATAGAGATTGGAATTATAGGTGAGTACAGAAAATAATTATCATTAGCAGATATAAATATCAGAATATGTAATGTAATGGACTGTACTTTTTAGCTAATATTTTTGTTACATAAGACTTAATTAAACTATTGAATAAAAAACTCTTTATTGAGTTTTTATTATTACATTTTTAGTCTATATATGTATAATTATTTCTATTTGACGCCTTTTTCAGGGCGACGATGTTATACGTATCGTATACAGATGATTGTAAAATTTGCTTATATATTTTTACAAATTCATGTATATTTAGAGGATATTATTTCTACTTAATGATGTAGTCAAAAATCGCTACAAAAGGCAATTGACTCAAGTAACAGTAAATGTATAAGCATATATTTATTATAGGACCAATTGAATAGATTTGAAAATACGTTATTATTCAGAAAATAAATAAGACACAATTAATAACTTATATAAATAATAAGTGTGAATCAGTACTGAAAAATGTCTCTATTTTTAAAGACATAAAAATTCACAAAAAAACTTTCCAACAACACATTTTTATATTTGTATACAAAGGGCCTTTAAGTTAGGGCTTCATCTCAAGGTATCTGTACATATTATATTTGTATAAGTTATATACAATATTACAAATATTTATATGTCTTAATCCAAAAGTATTTTCAGAAAAATATTATAATTTTCAAAATAAATATTTGTCATTAGAAAGTTTATACAACTGCAGATTAAGATTATTAGCAGCCAAAAATCCCGAATCAAGAATCTAATATGTAAATCTTATCAAAGAAGTTTTTAAAATTTTTCTTATCTAACAAGTTATGCTCCTATATATAAATATAAGCAATATATTATATAATCAACACATAGTTCATACATAGTTCTGCACATATAAGCCTAGATATGGTTTCAATCAGTAAGGCTATTTGTAAACTGCCAACTTGTCGATAATGTTTTAAAACTCGGGTTTAGGGTTGACTTAATTGAAACTTCTATATTCATATATAATATATCAATTTTTTAAATACAACATTAATCCCAACAAATGCAATAACTGAGCAACAGCAGTAAAAAGTGCAAGGATATCAATAAATATTCAAAACGAAATCGGCTGATAAAATCTTGTTTCTATCGTTATCTATGGAATTGAATCCAATTATTTCTATTGTTTGTCTATATATAATGTGTGTAATTACAATTTACTGTCATTTTTCTAACTAAGTACATATGAGTTTATTTGTAAGTATTTATTTATATGCAATGCATGCTAATTATTTGTTCTAGTTAGGTTTTTATTTTGATTGCGACACCATTGAATGCGAGACAACAGAATGCGACAGCATTGATTGGGAGATTCCGGATATTTCTGCATTAAGGTCAGCACTGCAAACTGAATACTCTTCAGGTGTTCGAGAAGGTTCCGCTTCCGTAATTTCAATATCCTGATGATGCTTATTTATGCGATGTTTGGCACTCAGCGCCTATAGATATGTATGTAGAGAATTTACCATTTAAATATATATTCGACAATATAAACATTTTAAATGAACGTACACGCAAATATGTTTTACTTCACTTAAAACTGTGCAAAAAGCTAAAATGGTATAAATCGGATAAGTAATATGGCATGCAAACTAATATATAATGGTATATATTGACTAATAATATATTTCAATACATATTAAGTTAATACATATAATAATAACACATATACGTAAATATTTATGTATAAATTTTTACAATTAAATCTACATAAATGTGATAATATACAAAGTTTCTATGTTATATATTATGAGCCTTAAACATTTTTAACACTTATTTTCTACTATGTTAACAGTATGTAGATTGTATCACGTCTATCACGCCTATCCCTTTAATCATTTTAATATATAATTTTTCCTAAAAATTAGGTTAAGTTGATCTCACCGATTAACTGTGGTATGTTCTCAGTGGTAGTGTCCATAAATCATATTTTTGTAAAGGGTGTCCAAGTTCTAAGCTACATAATTTTAATAGATCCTTTAAGAAACTACATAAATGCTCTTTAATATAGTTAGAAACAGAAGTGATTATTTTGGCGTTATTGAAAAATTCTATATACAAAGTACAAGACGATTTTGGTTCAACACACAATACAAAAATATGCATTTGTTAAAATATATACATTTCAATTACATTTATAAATACAAATTTTATAGTAAACAAATAAAAATATCCTATAAACTTTATAAACTTAAACTTTATATATTAATAGTTATAAAAGCTTTATACAAGCTTTGTAATCTTAATTGATCTATTAATAACTATATGATAATATGTTATCGTATGAGATTTAAATTGATTGCTTTTGCTATAGGTTAAGTTACATTGCTCTGGCTAACTTGACTATAAGCCACACATACTATATATATATCTATTGGTTTTTAGCAACACCAAATAGAATTACAATATATTATTTTTTATATAACATAAAACAGAATTAAAAAGGTTTAATTGAATGAATCGCATGTTCAGGTACTTTTAAATAAAAATTCCCATTTGCTGGTTAGATACATTTACGAGTAATAATATCAGTCTAAATATATTGGAGATCTATGTGGAATTGCCTGAGGTCCCCTGGTTAGTTATGGTAGAAGGTAATTTAGTTTTCGTGATTTCTGTTTAGCGAAGCTTTACATATAATTAAAAAGGGAATCTTCAAAAATTCTAGTAATTCTATTAGTTTATAAATTTGCATTGCCAATATACACATCAACAATGCAATATATGTATATAAAACTGGTAAATTATTATGACAGGCAAATGTCATCTATTTAGATAGATTTAGATTGATTATTTCTTATTGAATATACACAAAAGTGGAAGTTAATGTGGATAAGCAAAAGTCTAAAGTTTTTAGACGGTTATGGGAATTCTAAGGCAACAATCTCAATAAATAGGAAATGCAATAATCATTTTCTTAATTGATATTACAATTAATTGCATTATCATTTACTTATGGCGATTTTTGTCCATTGTACAATATTTTGTAATATACAATATAATGCATTTATTATTTTCGGATTCAGGTTATAGTGCTACTATTTCATTGTTATTATAAATATTTTTTTTGTCATTATTGCTGCAAGTGAAGACTAAAATGAAGAAAAAAGTCATATGATATATTATTTGCCACAAAAGCAAAAGCTGAAAGTAAAACATCTTACTGTTGATATCCTTTATTCTGTATATTTAATTCAATACTATTCTGCATCCTTGAAATAAATACAATAATTCTTTTGATCGAACTTAATAATAATGACCACAACAATCCAATTAATCGTTATTTAAAAAATCGACGTTTAGCGTACATTTCCTATGTCTAGGTTCAGTACAATGTTCATTGTTCCTCTGTATGTGTAGTCCAGAGTCCTATTAGATGACCTAAACAATTCTTAACTAAAATAACGATGGCGAAAATTTAATTTAAAGTAATTTTGTAAAATTAAAAATAGAGACCAGAAATTCGAAAACATTAATTAAATCTGAAAAATCGAATAAAGTACTAAAGAATAAAATATTTAAATTTATTTGCAAATCTATAAATTTTAAATGAAATATATTTAGATTAAAGTATATAATCATAAATCTTTTCTAATTAGTATCTCATTCTATGTTTAGAGTACTATGTATTTTATATTAAATATATTCTGTTATATTGAGTTAGATTCATACCGTAAATGTGCAGTTATTATTATTGTAGTAAATTAGTTAATATTATAGCTTAAATTCTTAAATAACTTTCCTTCTAACTACTTAGTTAATATATGTATATTTGTTCATTTATATAAATGTCTATACATTATATATGTACGAGTATAGAAAGAGATATATAGATTTACTAATACAATTAATTCGAAATTCGACCAAATCTTACCTTGTCTTTGCTGCCCTTTTTCTAATTCAAACATCACAGGCAAAAACAGTAAAAATACATTAATACAAATTACGTTTCAATATACAAGCGCTAAAATTATCATCACAAATAAAAATGGATATTTTTTTAAAAGTTTGAAAGTTTTAACAAAATGAAAAATGAAAAATGAAAAATTATTACAAAAGAAGCTAATGAAAGGCTTTAATTTTCGTTATCAACAACACACGTCTTCAAAACAAAAAAATGGGTTAAAATTCGAAATCCAACAAAACTTGCTACTTTCGGCTGCGAATGATTATAAACTCAAGTGAAAATGATCAGATTATGTACATTCTATAAAAATATAATATATATAATATCGTAGAAGATGTTAATCTATCTCTTCCACTTTTTATTTGCCTTTACTAAGTGATTAAATCCAACATTTCTCCCTATGAAACACCATCAGTCCGATCAGTCAATGATCGATTCATTAGCGCACACTTTGTATCGCTATTACAACAACAATAACAACAAATACTTCAGATCTCCTTCAGATCGTATAGAAATATTGTCTTTAAAATATAATACATAAACAGTGTTGCCAATATTTGGAAATTTTTTTCCCGGTGAAAGTCATTCCAAAAACCTTTAGAATTAAACCTTGTTTCTTTAATATAAATTTTGTATATATAATTTGAATTGCAAATTAATTTTCTTTGTATTAATTTTATTTTCTTTTATATGCTGGACAATTTTTAACTTCGAATGTTTGGTGTTTGCACGCATATCCCTAACAATATTCATTACATCCAGTGTTCAATAGTTTAATACTATAGACATGTTTTTGAAGAAGTGATGATAAATTAAATATATATATATATATATATATATATTGCCATACAGTTTGTGGTAGTGCTGTTCATATTATTCGGATATTTTAAAAACCGAAGCTATTCAATTGTTCGATTAATCGGATACTCCAAATAGTTCGTAAAACTGAAAACGAACATCACTAATTTGGGGTTTGTTTTGGCGTACGTTATGAACACAGTGCGTGTGTCCCGCAGAACATATTGATCATAACATATATATTTAATAATAATTATTTTCTATATATTTTTATTGACAAGGTTTTGCTCACGAAATTGGGAGCCTTGTGTGTAAAATATATACATTATGTAAATGAAAAAAAAATTTTATTTTTAATATTGAAATGCAGATAAAATAATTTTTCGTGCTTGCATGATTCACTTAAAATTTGTTTTGTAACACTTTTCAAATTTTTCCCCTATAAAAGCGTTGTAATTGAGATGTAAAAATGAAATTGTCATATTAATATAATATGTTATTTGAGCTTTGAATCAATTACTATTATAACGTCATTTTTCTAATATTGGAAATTATTATTTGGTTATAACATATATCAGCTTCCTGTTCTTAGCATTGAGATTTTCATTTTTGAATATATTTGTACATCTTTTTATCCCAAAAGAATGTCATTTAGATAACATAGTTCGGGTAATTTTTGAACGAAATATATATAAAATATATTAATACAAATAAGACTTTATGGTTTTAAAATTTTAATTTGAATACAAAGTTTTGAAATGCACTTCATACAATTTGTTTCTCTCTGAGTGTACAGATCTTGTATTCAGTTTAGTTTATATTTATATTTCATCAATGTCATGTTAGTTACTATTTATAAAATACGTATAAAATACATCAAGGAAATTGTTATTGTTGTTACTGTCGTTTTAACGCACTTCTGAAAACTACAATAGAAATGTTATTATATCGTAGTGGAATGATTTTAAACCATAGTTTAAACCATAGCCCAGTTGGTTTTGCAATCTCCCCATTTTAGTTTGATGGGTTAGTTTGGTGCACCTAATGAAACAAAATAGAGTATATCTTACAGTTATTAACTTCCTTTCAGGCAAATATGTTATGCTGAATGTATACTTATTGGTTACTCTTTCTAAAATTATATTAACCGAAATCATTTACTAAGCACTAATACTAATATACAACATGGACTGAATTCATTTCATATCCCCCAAATTTTTATATTGAGTGTTTCATCTGGTACAATATGTATAGAATTAGTTTCTATTTATGCAGTTTAAGCCTGCATAAACTGCATAACTTCAAATCTCTATTTGTTGTTACATTGCTAGTCGAAAATAATTCTAATCTAAGCTTCATTTAGCTTTTTACTTTTAATAAAATAAACTAACAGAAAATAATCTAAAATAGTCTAATAAAATAAAAACTAATAGAAAATAGTTTACGAGTATTATAAAAAAAAGATCCTATGTGATCTAAGATTATATTGATGGGTAGAAATTTATTAAAATTTACAATCTCTAATTTTTTGGGTTTATAATCATTTGCAGCAATTCAAATACAAACAATCCTATTCAAATATATAATTTATATTCATTTCATGTAATGAGTTAAGAAATTCAAATGCGATGGTATATTTTACATTTGAACAGAGAACACAATTCTGCGACACAAGTGCACAGATTTCTTCAATGTCTGAGTGATTTTATATGGCATGTTTGAAACTTACTTGTAATGAAAATCGACGATGGCCTGGCTTTCGTCCACCTCGTCGTTTGCTTATATGGGGATTGTCTTGCCGTAAAGTTTTATTTTTTAAGATTTCAAGTTGCGTATACAGTCTATATAATAAAATATTGCAATTAAATTTGTTACACTCTTCATATTAAAAAGCAAAAAAAAAATGGATTTCTAATTGAAATAATGGATATTCTGCCTTAACCACTGACATTTTCTTCATATCTTCTCAAAGGGAACATGGTCTAAAAATCAGTATACATTAATATTACTAACTGTTTTTTTATTAAATTTAATTTTTTAAATTTTAGAAGCAAAAGATAACTCAAATACTATACATTAGTTCCATAATTTTTTCAATTCTTTCAAATCCACTTAAGTAACGTCGTGATGCGTTAAAGCTCTACCGTTTTTATTTAATCCGTTTATCTATCTATCATTACAGTGAATAGTTTTCTGCATATATTTTTGAAAATAATATTAAACATAAAAAATAAACATGCTTAGATTTATTATGTATTAAAGCTTTTTAAAAAAAGAATAAAAGGAATAAGAGAAGAAGAACAGCATTTGTGCTCTATAAAGAGTCAATTATATCAGTAGTATCATTAAAAAAATAATAGTAAAGTAATATTTTCTAAAAGACTTTAAAAGACATTATTCCAGATATCTTTAACTATAATTTCTCATAAAATATAACAATTTTAAGTTTCTTATAAATAAATGGACAGAAACTTATTTAGATGAACTCTAATAAAATAATTTCCAATTAAATTGTTTATGGTTTGTCCGAAAGTTATATCATTTTCAAATGATCAATTTAAAACTGAGTTCTATGCAATATACCTCTTACAATATTTTCTATTAATGGTTACTTTTTGTAAGTATATTCTTATATGTGACAATTTTTAATATTATATGTAGGTTAGTTAAGATAAAAAAACTGTTAATATTGTAAATATTAAGCACCCAATTCAGATTATATATATGTATGTATACCAAAGAAATTGTGTTCAGCGCTAAAACTAATGATGATTAAAGGATTTTATTAAACTAACCTTTTTAGTTCGGCACGTATATCCTCAGGATTCATTTCAGATATGGTTAGCTCTCCAGTATCAGGATCCCCTAAACAAAGACCAGCATATCCGCCACCCAGGCGTTGTCCAGGATCGTGAGAACCCTTGAAAGCATCCACAGGTAAACGTATTGATAGATCATGGGCAAGGAAACGAACCTGCAAGCTATGAAGATGCAACAAACACCGCAAACCACACAGAAAAACACAAACAATAGGATAACGTAAAACGAAAAAAACACAAAAAAAAAGAAAATTAAATATAACTCAATCTCAAAAGAAATTCTAATTTTGCACAATGCAAGAGAGTAAAATCAGTTTATTATAGAACGAGCATTTAACCTTTATTAAAAGTAAACAAATGCTATATTTAAAGCAGTCATTTTTTGATATACAATATGTTTCGTATCAACGAGGTTTGACTTCGGGAATTGTTTTCTTGATCAAAACACTAAATAAACTTATGGGTCTTGCGGGTCTATTATCAGTATTTAGATATATACAGGATATCGAAAGAAAATCCACTAAAAAAACATGCAATCATGAGACATAATATATTTAACACGGTTCATTGGAATAACTTAAGTCGTATACAATGCAAAGTCATATACAATAAAAATCTCAAAAAATTTTAAAAGAAGTCACAGTATTCATAATAATGAAAGAAAATTTTTTTAAAATCTTATATTTGAACCACCATAACTCTTGAACTAATAAAAATAGAATAATCATTTAAGTATCACGTTGCAAAATATCACTCAAAATAAGCTATATATGTTATTTTTTGACTGTATGTTTTTTTTAGTAAAATTTACTTTTTAAACCGTGGGTAAATCGGAGTAAATACTAAAAATAAATCCAACTCCCATGGGATTTTTTTAGTTTCATGGGCCAAGCAACAACATCTCGAAGGTAAAGCACGTTAGTGCCAAACACACTGTTTATACATGTTTGTTAGAGCTTAATCTTTCTATAATACATTAAATAATTTTTTTACAATAATTGATTTACAATAGCACTGGATATCGAAACATTTGACTATGTTAAAGTTCAATTAGTATGATAAATAGACTTTAAAAATATTAAAGTGAAAAATATTTAATAATTTTTTCAAAGCTTTAGTGTTATTAAATATAAATAAATTATATAGATGTCGAAATTTGTACAAATTGTTCACAATTATTAAAAAGAACTTTCTTGTACAAATTCTCTTCTGAGAAAACTTCTCTTTTCTGAGTTTAGTCTCACTTATGAAAATTGAGAGCGTAAGTAAGAATTTGATTCTCAATATTTTTCTGAATTCGGTAATAGAAATCAAGGCAACAAAAAACTTTATTGAAAAGTTCTCTCTCAAATCCGTTTAGAAATTAGATCATTTCAGTACAAGAAATCTAAAATTTTATGATCAAATATTTTTAGGGCTAAATATCTATATGATTTATTATCTTTGATGTTGATATGTTCTGATTAATAAATACATATTTATCAAATTTTTAGTCTAAAAATCAGACCGAGAAGAGCACTGATGCACTGATGCACTGATAGTGCATCACTTTTTAAATAGAGTGCTTGCAATTTGCAAGAATTCCTATTTCTTGCCTTTGTAATCCGGTTAAATGCCCTATGTTCCATGAGACGCTATAACGTGACAACTGATTTTACTTATGTGCTCAGGAAGAAAAAATTGAATACATTTAAAAAGTAAAACAAAAAAAATTTCTAATATAGTATACATACGATCTATTTTTCTAATTAGTTTACTGTAAAGGTTCAGAGCAATGTAAGGAAGATTTAAGAATAATTTTAATTTTAATTTAAGTTTAGTTCATTTCAATTTCTCTAATCTCAATTACATTCATTATGTAAAGAAATATTGTGTCTGCAGATAGTATAGGGTTATAATAGAATAATTTTCATATTGGAAACCGAATTTTTAACTGAACTAAGATTCATGCGTATGTAATAAGAAAATACTTTTAAAAAAAAAAGCAAATGAAGTATGGAAAACGAAAAAAATATTAGATGAAGAGAAAAAATCTGTATTAACAAAACAAAACAACACTTTTTCTAAATTTTCCATGCATAGAAACACTCAATATTTAAGTTAAGAACACAGTGAAGATATGATAGATGATAGACTATAGACTATAGATGACCATACAAAAGACAATATATTTAACATAATCGAAAATTGCGAAAATTAAATCAGAACGGCAGCTTGAAGCGAATGAGTTTAAAATTGGACAAAACTATGATTAAACGATCCTTACATGTGTACAAGTGAGCATTGATCTATGGAGCATGCAAAGTATATTATCTTTAAGAACTCTTTTCAACATCGAGATATTTATGAGAATTGGAAGCTACAAACATACTGCTGATTTGCTGGCTGAGAAAAATCGTAAGATTTTACAAATTTATAGAACATCTATTATAAATATCTGCTATAAAATAGATACCAACGTTGGGTAATTGACATTCATAACTAACATTGTATATATGGATTTAAATTATGTTGTGTTATCATAATTTCTTCATTTACTAATTTTAACTAAAACACTCCATAAGGACTATAGATCAAATGCATATGCTAATAAAAACAATACAAAATATTAACTATAGCTTAACCGAAGCTTCAATACCCCTCAAGTGAACATCGCTGAATAGATTTATTTCGTTTCGCTGATCAGAAAATATGTGTTTTATGTGATATCTAAAATCTTATGCATAGTGATACAACCATCTTGACAATTCTTATAACATATACAAATCAGACTAACAGACTAATTTTAAAATCTCATACAGACAGCTTCATACAACACTGGTGGAATATAGTAAATAGTATAATATTCCTTCATTTCGAAAAATTTTTAAAATTTTAATATATTTTATAAAAATTATGTAAAATTCTCCACTAAAGAATACGGAAATTCGAAAGTGAGAAGTGAGCGTAATATTTGAGTAATGAAATTTATTTAAAACACAGTACTCATTGTTATCTTTAAAATATGAATAAAAAGAACTTTGTAATGGTAATTTTAAGCATATTTAAACATATTATTTTCTTCACAAAAAAGGCATTTTATTATAAAATAAGTATAATTACAATTATTTTACCTTTTTACTCAAATACTTTCTTAAAATTTTTAACAATATGATCCTATCAATTTCTAGAATTTGTCTAAAGATTGCTAAAATTCCTCCTGTGCTTGTTTAGTATATAATAATTATAGACTAGTCATAGTCAAAGTAAGAAAAAATAGCATAAAGATACTACTTCAGCTAATCATATGATTTAAGAGAAAGACTTAAATCTTAATACATAATCATAAACATGTGCTACTCATATAAGATAATTCATTCTATGCAAAGTATAACAAACTTATTGACGCACATTTAGAGAGTTTATGAGACTGTACCAAAGATGATAGAATTAATTAATTTATAACAGAGGTAAGAAATAACGTATACACTGGTCTACTATCGTATTTAATATTGTGTTAAGTTTTTATATATTTAATAACCATTAAAAATAAAAGTGTGACATAGATGAATACAGAGAATACTATTACAAATTTAACAAACACATAATATATCCTGGTATATAGATTAATATGTATAAGCGATTAAACGAGTTAATATATTTAGATGAAATTAAATAATCCAAAATTATGTAGACCTAAAACATTCTTACCTTTTTCTTCGTTTTCCACTTACAGAAGTAGAGATGTTAGAAAAACAAAAATTTCACTAAACTTATTTTCTTCTTGATTCAGAAACAATAAAGTATAACAGAACAACATATATCCGTCATGAAATTTGGTAATCGTTTATTATTTTTTAGTGAATTCGAATCTGACACACAAAATACACAACTTCTTTTATTATTTAAATGAATTTTTAATTTTTGAATAAACTACATGGGCGATATAGTATTGTTGAGCATAAACCATAGTCGACCACAGTCTAGTCAAGAGACTAGAAGAATCAAATTTTAAAATTTGCAATAATCTAATTAAATATATTGAAAAATTATTCTAACATTGAATTTATCAGTAATTAGTATAGTGGCGTAGGCAGTATTAAAAGTGTGAGCAATAAGATATTTTTAAAGAAGCCAATGGGAAAGCAAAAGGTATAGAGATTAATGTAACAACTCTCACTTAAAACGATAATCAATATTAACTGTAAATTGAGAATTAACCCACGTGAATTGTGAAAACTGAAACGAAATAAACTGGATATACTTGTTCACCTTGTTCCTTCATTTCTCTTCGCTATACTACTGCCAAGAGGGGCAAGATTTTATAACTTTCTACCACAGAATTATCACTTTACTTAAAAACTTAAAATCAAGTGTTTATACTAATCAAAATTTTGACTAGTAAATACAGGTGTACAATTTACAGTATTAAATTGCGAATTCTTCGATTCGCAATTCTTCTCATAATAACTTTCTTTTGCAATTTTTAAATGATCAATAGGAGAGGACATCTCAATTATCACTCTAAATAGGGTCACCATTTTTGATGAAGAGCAGACTAATAGGGAAATAATAAATACTTAGCGGGGATTATATATTGATATATCTTCAAAATTGAAATGGTTTATCGAATTTTGAATAAATAAATGAATGTTGTGCTACTCCTATTATTTAAAAAATTTTTAAAATTGTAAGTACTGTAAAATTGTATTATACATTCCATTATAAACATAAATTTCACATAAATTTGCAAAAGCCATGATTTTCAAAACTACTTTTAAAATGGTTATAAATCTTCAGAAATACATGAAACTAAGATTACTATATTTTATTTCAATTACTCTAGACTTGTTAGGTGGTGATGGGTGTGCACTGTGATGAAGAATAAAAAATATAAATGAATAAGATTGTTACTATTACTGAAACAGCACAGAACATGCTGAGCTATATATATATATATATATATATAAATATGTTAATATATATATAATAATCTAATAAACTATAACGTTAAACAAAAAAAAACATGAAATGAAATAAAATATGAATCCAGCACTTAAAGCAACTTCATAGCTCGACAATAAAATGTTATATACATATAAATATAATGATTTTCCTGACATATTTTTTATTTACTATATCATAAACATTAAATAAAATACATAAAAAATTAATATTCAAGAAAAATTTATTCAAATAAAAAACACAAAAGACAGTTTCCATCGTTTGACGTATTACTCAAAACCTGACTTTAATCTCAATATCAGTAATTGGATTTACTTATTTGTATATTTCTGGTACCTTTCTCAATATCGTTAATATCTTAGTTGTAATTATCAATAAAATCAATAGATTAAAAGTAAAAATATTTAAAAAGAAATTCCATTCTGCGCTATCGCTTATCGTTACTAGTTAATAGACTCCGTTCAAACATTTACCTGCTTATGCTGGTACCATAATTTTGGAATGAAAATAAGGCCAAGTGCAATTGTGTTAGTAAGTTGTGAACGCAAAAATAAAGCTAATAGAATTGTACCCGGGTTCATTTGCGGTAAATAAAAATAACGCATTGCATAAAATGTACATGAAATAATGAATTCCAAGAACAAAGTTGCCGCAAGAAATTGCCTCTCCTAGTAAAAAAAAAATCATTAGCATATGAAATTACTAATGTAAATAACAATGATATACTTTGAACTGTGTATTGGCATTTCGGGTAGCAAAAGATAAATTGAGTCCGAAGCACAATATAATCACCTCACTCGCCTGTGTGACATACTCCCATTTCAGTGGTTTGCAAGTGTTAGTCCGTTTTTCACGTAAGCTTTCTAAATGTCCAGCTTCTAAAAGATCCATTGATGAAGCGGTAAAAGCTGTCATATAACAAATGACCGCAAATACCATTGTGCTTAGATATTTAAGCAAATCAACATCCCGCAACACCCACCGATGAGCCTTACGTGTACGAAACTCGACTAAATGTCGATACAATTTAAGTATGATTGCCCCGTAGCATGTGATGAAACCAAGTTCGCGAAGCCACGGCTCAAGCAGGCAACGTTCCGTGGAGGCAGGAAAGAAATGGACGGCAACCTGTAGAAAACATATTTTAAAATAATCAAATAATCTCTTCTATATATAAATATTGTTATATTATATATGGTATACTGCATAGTAATAATATGTGTTATACTAATGTGTTCGCATATATATATTTAAGTGTAACAATAAAATAATATATGTAAATCAAACATACCGATAAATAAAGTATTATTATTCCTAAGAGTATGGTTTCTAAAACAGTCCACATGCCTGAAGCGATTGCCTATATTAAAATCACAGATTAAATAAACAGATTCATATAAACACCATTTAATTAATATTAATTAAAAGATTTGTATTTACCTTGCATTTTCGTTGTCGAAACACTATTACACTCAATACAATACAGCACAGTATGCATGCACCTAACACAGATCCCACAGACACTTTCAACAAATTTTCCATGGACACAGTCTCCTGAGGAGATGCAAGTAAACATGTGCCATGTTGATCGCAGTGTGTACAACTGCCTGGACAGCGCACGCAAGAATAATTATCAAATCCTTCAGACATTTCCACAATGTCTCCTCGAAAACCTTGTAGTGTGGAATTTGGCAAATAGTGATACTCAAGACATAAACAAGTATAAACATCACGAGGAGGTAAAGGTTTATTTTCAGTTACGAGGCAGAATGTTGTATTACGATCGCAGCTATAAAGCAAATTCAATGCGGCATAAGATAAACGACAAACTTATTTAACAAATTTAAAGGATAAACTAATAAAATTAACTCACCCATGGCGTCTACCGAAAATTTCTTCCAGCTCATCATTGCATACATTCTCGTCTGCTGCTGTAAAAGCTGCAGCAACAATTCTAGACAAATAAAAGTTAATTAGATTTTGTTAAAATTTTTATATTTTTATATTCTTTGTCTATTACTTAATTTTTGAGTCGGTAAAAGAAATGCGAAACGGCCACAGCCAACGTCCTTTTAGCAAATTACAGTCTCTAAATGGTGCTCCCCATTTCGGTGTACTGTCAGTACTATTCCATGCGTAACCTAATTCACGCCAATAAGAGCCAAGAAATGCTTTGTTATGTGATTGTTCGGGGGGTATCTAAAAAAAACCATAGTAATAAAACTGTAAAGGTGACTAATATTGTTACTTACAGTTACATTGTCTCGGAACTTGACCACAACCGTATGTATACTAGGAGCAGCAATAGCGAATGCAAGTAAGTTATCATCTTCATTAAGAGCATAGCTGGCGATTCCATTTGCGCGACGCCGTACTTCGTCTCGTATTTCATCAGTAATAACTTGTTGTGCTTGGGGTACTGAATCAGGAAATTTGGTGGTCAAAAATTCAGTAAATTGTCTAGCAGCGTCTTCAGTAATATCGGTAAAATCGAATAACTATAACATATATGAAAGTGTTTAAATTAACTTAAACATACGAAGAAAGATTCTTCAATTTAAAACTGTTTAAAAATTAGCAAGTAGTACACAACTATTGTACATTCTATACCAGTAAATAAATCTTACCGGTGCTGCAGGTATTATGTCTAAAACTTTACTTTCGCATTCTTCATCTGGTGCCAAAGTTGTTGTTGTAGTGGTGTCTGATGAAACACTTCTTTTTGCCGCGCTTTTACTTCGATGTTGCTTATGAGAACTCTGCTGCTGATAATGTTTATGGAATATGGATTCTTGTGCTTCAAACAGATCCAATCCACCATTAAATGCCTCATCACTTTTAATTTTCTTTTTGATTTCGTTTTCTTGAATAATTGATGGAGTTTCTGTTTGATATTGAAAAAATGAATCAAACGCCTCCCTTTGCATAATACCATCAACAGTTAAAGTATTTGATGCGTCTACTAAAAAAAAAAACAAACTGTTAAATTATGAATTAAATATTAAAGATAAAAGAAATGAGAATTTGAGAGGGTGTGGAGTGAAAAGGAGGAGATTGTGACATAGATTGCAATGAAATGAAATTGTATACAAACTGATTTAAGATTTCTGTATTGATCCAGCACCTACTAAGTCTTTGCTTCAGTACCATTCCCAAAGTTTGACAAATGACCATTCCCTTTGAAATTTATCCACTCACGTAAAGGATGAATAAAAGAGATATGCATTGGAATAGTAAATCATTTCGTTGCAATGCGTGGTCAAGCGGAATAAAGGAGTAGCGCTGGGAACAGAGTAGGAGACGTAGACCATTTTGAACTAATATATCATTATCATTACTTTCTTTATCTTCTGCAGAAGTAAAGGATGATAATACTACAAGTCTATATCAATTAGTCACATTTGTTTGTTCGTATTTGATGCAATTGGTAGAACCGTTTAAGGGTAATTCATTAAGTCATTATACATAAATAATTCGATAAGACCAGTAACAAGTAATGTAACCAGTAACAAGTAATGAGACTAACATGTAAGGTATAAATATGTATATATGTACATAAAAAAATCTTCCTAACTAATACAAAGGGAGTGCACAATTAATGATTTCGTGATATGTTATAAAAGTTGTTATACTCACCATTTGACTTTGAGTTGGGTATAGCTGTAGCTTTAATCGGCGTTACCGATACACTAGCTATAATAGCTATAAGACATATCCATTTCAGTCCTTCCAGAACTAAACGATATTGGTTTGGCGTTTTGTTACTTTTTACACATTTTATTAAGGTTTTTACTGTTATTAAGTTTATGAATGTTAAAATTATATTACAAAGACCACTACATGACCACGAGGATATTTTTTGGTTTCTGGCATTATTGAATTTATAACTACATCTGTTCAGAAAATTCGTTACAGGATGCTCGAAAGGATTTCGTTTTATATGTGTTGCTTTTTTTCTATTTACAAATATTGATTTGAACTTTCGTTTTTTATGTTTAAGTCCTTGCAAAAAAAGACTGCTTTCATTTTTGATTTTAGGCTGTAGTAGATGTTGGTGGTGCTGTTGCTGGTGGCATTTGATTTTCAAGTACGTCCCATGTGTTCTCTGTTCTGAAGTCATGTGAGATTCTATTGTCGACATCACTTTAAGAAAACAGTTCATAGACATCTTAGTTAAAGCTGTGATCAAATTTGTTTTTGCAACTCGCAGCTAACCTCTGCAATATTAATAGAAACTATTTACAAAGTTATAATATTGATTTTGGGATTTTAAAAGTCTAGTAGTTAAGTAGTTTAATAGCAAATTATACCTTAAGCTTCAAATTAAAATGATGTGATAGTGAAGCACAGAAATTAATAATGTGTTTCCGTGCTGATAACTTAGTAAGTTTTAGTTGAGATCAGAAAACATGTACATATTTCAATAATATTGATCACATTCTTGCATACACTAAATGTAAGAAAAGTGTAAGAAAATGGTCCACTATAGGAAATATTTTAAGACAACAGAAAAACCGTGAAAGTGTTTAAAAAACTCGAGCATTCACTGAACAAAGCTAGACTAAAATAAGCAAAAAAAGACTGAAGTTATCTATTGATTATAAGACCGTGAGTAGAATGCAATTGAATCTACCTTTTCATTAAGGAAACTTCTATCTTTAGCGCACAGCGATGTAATAACATAGCACTATTCCTTCTTATAATAGTGTTGAATCAGATTATTATTAATATCGTTTCGATTTCACTTACAACTTTGCTGAAGGCGGGACGGATTTCAATATAGCAATTGAAACAGATGTCTTAATAATACAATAAAACAATAGTATCCAAACGAAGTTTCGATGGGTGTTACCTGGACCTGTCAAGGGTGTATCGATAATGATTAAATAAAGGTACTGTCACATAGAAAAACTTTTACCAAAAAAGAATAAACTTATTCTAGAACTAGAAATTATTGATACTAACATAAGCAAAACCAATAAATAAAATCTTTAATTTTAAAGAATAAAGAGATGTAAGTTAATTTACTCTAGAAATCTCGTAATATGTCCTTATCGAATCGTGCGCAACGATGATGTAAATAGTGAAATATTTTGAAATTAGATTACTTCGCAATTCTAATAGCTTATGCTTAATAAACGTCTCCCATATTGATCCTCAAAATCTCTAATGATTAGGTCAACAAAACAAAAAAGATATACACCAAAGTTGGAAACGCTGACAAAAATGCAACAAAATAACTCTGCTGAAATGCCATAATAAAATAGCAATAAACAACGATTCTTATTCCTAAACTTCTTAGCAACAAGTCTTCTTATAAAAACTATGATTGCGTGTAGTCTGACTACTTATTGAGATGTTTTGAATGTTCATTCGTAAACGAATCCTTACTCAATTTAAGCGAGCCTGTAAAATAGAGTTTTAGTCTGAATTTCTTTTTGTGATTTAATCATGATGGACTACATTTACTTGAAAATTTTTATACATAAGCTGCGCTTAATAGTGCGTGTGTAAAAAAACACAGAGTGAAGAAAAAACAAGAAAGTAAGTGTTTACTCACTTTTAAAGATTAAGCTTAGTGGTGAAAATCCCACAACTGATTAAGTGGTCACAATCTTTGTAAATCAAAAAAATCAATAGAAACAAGTACAAATCGTTGTTCGTCATTTGTGTGACTTAGGGAAGACTGTGATAAAGCGACTGTGATAAAGCGACTGTGATAATCGTAAATGCGACAACTAAACTGGCAACATAACATTGTTTGGCAATGCTAAAATATGTTACTTATTTTTATTCAAATAAGTAGAGTTTCAAATATTATTTGAGCAGATAGAAGATGAAACCATTTTAATGTTCGAATATGCTTGCACTTGCGCTTTTAACTCGAAACCATTCAAAAATGTTTGAAAGCTACATTATGTTCGATCATTTACTGTCATAAATCATTTTACATAAATTGCAATTTATATAAAACACAACAAAACTATCATAAAAGATTTCGGAGAAGTTTGTATGTTTAACTCGAACAGCTCGAACATTTCCGAACAATTAAAGTCGGTCCAATTGTTCGACTGGCTAGACTTTACAAGATTTCTTTTGCGATTACAAAGAGTACGTATTATTTTTGATTATTGTATTATTATTATTATTATATTATCGTATTATATTATTATCTGGGGGGGGCCCGCGTGCCCTCTGGGAGCGAGTACACAAGGCAACGTGTCTGATTGCATTTAACATGGAAAATGCCAGCGCAATCCTTGTTGTCCTCAATCCAAGTTGTCGCACAGCCTCCTCGTGGCACCCCTGGATAGTTACCTGGCACCCGCTGGGTAATGAACTAATAGTGCGTACGGCGAGTCCTATCCCCAGGACTTTAAATTTGGGTTGTGCACAGGGTTTGGTACCCGTCACGTAAAATCAACCACCAATGAAGGACGCAAGAATGCCTCGGAACTGGAAACCGAATAACGTTGACGACCAATGCAAACGATTAAAGGACTATGATTTACGGATATGCACCTGGAATGTCCGGACCCTCTATAGGGAAGGTGCCTCTATCCAACTGGCGGAAGCCCTCAATAAATGTAAGGCACCGTCACCGCCATCCAGGAAATGCGATGGATAGGACAAGGCTGCTCTAAAAGAGCAAACTGTGATGTATACTACAGCTGCCATGCAAATCGACGTGAATTTGGATGCGGTTTTGTGGTAAGCAAGAGACTATCAAAATTAGTCCAGCGATTCACACCGGTGAACGAAAGGCTTGCCACACTCCGTATCAAGGCAAAATTTTTTAACATCACGTTAATTTGCGCTCACGCGCCGACAGAAGAAAAGGACGACTTGACCAAAGATACATTCTACGCGAGACTCGAGGAAATTTATGACCGCAGTCCCGCCCACGACGTTAAAATTGTTCTCGGGGATTTTAATGCAAAGGTTGGAAGAGAAGAAGTCTTTGGTCCAACTGTCGGAAAATTTAGCCTCCATGAATCAACCTCCAACAACGGTCTAAGGCTAATTGATTTCGCTGCGGCGCGAAATATGGTAGTATGTAGCACCAGATTCCCACACCGTGATATTCACAAGGCAACGTGGCTGTCTCCCGATCAAGCAACACGAAACCAGATTGATCACTTCGTGATTGACGCAAGGCACGCTTCTAGTGTGCTGGACGTACGTTCATTTCGTGGTCCAAATATCGACTCAGATCACTACCTTGTCGCAGCCAAGGTACGCATGCGGCTTAGTACCGCCAACAACGTACGCTCCAATGTTCAGAAAAAATTAGACGTTAATAAGCTGCGATCACGAGAGACAGCCGAAGCCTTCGCCGCTCAGCTCTCTAGCCGATTAAACAACCAACCCTCCCGTTCCGATAATGCCGGTAGACAGTGGGGACATATCTCTCACTCCCTACGCACAACAGCGGAAGATGTCCTTGGTTTCCAACGTCCCCCACGGCGAAACCAATGGTACGACGAAGAGTGTCGCCAAGCTACTGCTGCGAAGAACGCGGCCTATAAAAGGACCCTGCAGTCAGCAGCAACGCGAACCGTGCATGAACAATATCGGGAGATGAGGAAGGTAGAGAGGTGCCTATTCAGACGGAAGAAACGAGATCAAGAAAGGCGCGAGCGAGAGGAAATCGAGGTGTGTAGAAATAGGAATGATGCCCGTAAATTTTATCAAAAAATCAACCGTCTGACTCAAGGCTTTAAGCCTGGTGCATCAACCTGTAAGGACGAAAATGGTAATCTGGTTACAGATACGCAGAATGTACTGAAAGTATGGAAGGAGCATTTCTCCAAACTACTATCTGGCGATGATAACATCAACTCTGCCATTGAAGAAATGCCCTCTGTATCCCCAATCGAAAATGATGACGTTGAAATTCCACCACCTAGCCATAACGAAGTGCGTGTTGCTATACAGCGACTTAAGAACAACAAAGCGGCAGGCGCAGATGGCCTGCCTGCTGAATTGTTCAAGGCCGGCGGCGATATGCTGATAGGGTGCATGCATCAGCTTATCTGCAGAATATGGTTAGATGAAAGTATGCCCAGCGATTGGAATCTCAGTAGCCTTTGTCCTGTCTTGAAAAAAGGTGACCCGACGATTTGCGCCAACTATCGCGGGATTAGCCTGATACCTGTCGCGTACAAGGTTCTTTCAACTGTACTGTGTGAAAGGTTGAAGCCACATGCCAACTCACTGATTGGACCTTATCAGTGCGGCTTTCGACCTGGTCGCTCCACCATTGATCAGATATTCACACTGCGACAAATCCTGGAAAAAGCCCACGAACATAACATCGATACTCATCACCTTTTTGTCGATTATAAAGCAGCTTTCGATAGCCCCATTAGGGATCGCGTTTACGCCGCAATGTCTGAGCTCGGTATCCCTGCAAAATTAATTCGGCTTTGCAGAATGACGCTGAGTAATACCCGTAGCTCCGTCAAGGTAGGATCGAGTCTCTCTGAACCTTTTGATACCGTGCGAGGCTTCAGACAAGGTGACCCCTTATCATGTGACCTCTTCAATTTCGTCATGGAAGTGATCATGCGCAGGGCAGGTGTTCATCGTAATGGAACAATATTCTACAAATGTGTCCAGCTCCTTGCTTACGCCGACGACATTGACATCATTGGGCGTAGCAAGCGTGATGTTACAGCTGCTTTTGCTGCTATCGAAAAGGAATCTGCAAGAATGGGTTTAGCGGTGAATGAGGGAAAAACGAAGTATATGTCGGCTACTGGTAGAAATGTGCGTCGCTCGGACACCGGGCTAGTGGCTGGCGACTATACTTTCGAATCTGTCAAGGATTTCATCTACCTTGGCACCGCTGTAACGAATACAAATGATGTCAGTCTGGAGATCAGACGAAGAATCACCATTGCTAATAGGTGCTACTATGAGCTCAATAGGCAATTGGTATGTAGAGCTCTCTCTCGACAAACAAAACTTACGCTCTATAGGTCGCTCATCCTCCCTGTGCTTCTGTATGGCGCAGAAGCATGGACGTTATCCCAGAATGATGAAGCAGCACTGGGAGTGTTCGAGAGAAAAGTTCTTCGTAAGATCTTTGGTCCTCTACGAGTTGGCGACGACTACCGCATTAGAATGAACCACGAGCTGTACGAGCTTTATCACGACATTGACGTAATTCAGCGCATTAACATCCAGCGGCTTCGCTGGCTTGGTCATGTCGTGAGAATGGATGAAGACGCTCCGGCGAAAAAGGTGTTTGAAGCAGTAGTTGGCGGAAGAAGACGTAAAGGTAGACCGTGTCTCCGGTGGAGTGATCAAGTTGAGGGAGCACTAACTGGACTTGATATACGAGACTGGAGAAGGCGCGCACGCAGCAGAGGCGCCTGGGGAGACATGCTGCGTCAGGCCGAAACTCGGTAACGGGTTGTTATGGCCACATAAGTAAGTAAGTAAGTAAGTAAGTATTATCTGCGAACAAGAATTTGTATGTGTTCATTAGGACGGAAAAATTAGGAGTGTATGCAAAAATCTTAACAAAGCTTAGCGGCTGTTGATGCTAGTAATATTATATAATATGAGATCTAGAACATATACTAAAGAATTATTACAAAAAATGTTACAACAAAAATTTATTTTATATTTTTTTCATATTCATTTTTTTATACCCAAATACCCGTCATCAGTGGTCTTGGAAATACGTTTTGTATTTAACTATTCGTAAATAATTTTTTGAGACTGCAAGTACCAGGAATCGAACTCGTGTCCTGCCAAATTTGAATGTTATAGAATATTATAAAGTATGATTTTTATATGTTCATAAAATAAACAAGAAGTAATAAATAAAAGAATGTTCCATTTTATTTTGAAATTTTTAATTAAAAGGATTATTACACCTGACTGTTTTTAACATCGAAGCAAACTATAATTATTGCTGTGTTTCTACCCGAAGTGCTATAGTCATAAAAGAAACTGATCTTATCTTGTATTATACAATAAAAATATTACAGTTGTTTGATTGAGATAACAGATAAAAGATAAGAGATAATAGATAACAGATAAGAGAAGCCAAACCAATACTACTTATTAACACCAAAAATATATATAAAGAATCAACTTCGAATTAAGTAAATGGGACACACCTTCTGCTTGTTATTTTTCTGTATTGTAAGCAAATAATGATTTAAAAATGATTTAATTTTCGCCCATCACTATTGGTGCAATACTATAACCAAGGATAGAAAGAGATACTGGCACAAATAAATATTTAATTTTCAGCCCAACGACCTGCCAGTTTATTGACTATTCTGAGTATTCTGAGCATAGGCAGCTTACAGCTGATGCTTTATATCCTGTTTAACACAATTCACAATTCGCAGCTATAATCAATTTCATTAGATTTCGCCATAGAAACTAGGTAAGCATTGCTTGCGTGCCATTGGAAAATACACGCCACGCGATTGCCCATGTGCTTCTCATTTCAACATTATTCACATTTTAAAAAACGTTCCTACATAAAACACATTAACACCGTTGGAAGCATCCCTTAAAAATAATAGTTTATATATAGTGAAATAGTGAAGTGTAAAGGCAGAACATACACGCACGCACAAGGCAAACAGCCAACAAAACTGAAACCAAATTAAAAACATAAACTTTTTCATTTAGCAATTACGGCAAATTAATAGTTGAAATTCAGGCAAAAGTGGTGCTTTCGGTGCTGGGACTTGGGTTGGGATAAAATGCCAGCGGGACGATACGCTTAGCTGAAAGAAGATAGTCCGTCCGATTACAGAGGAAAACTATTATAAAACGCAACTATTTTATTGATTGTGACTTTTTAATAACACACAATTTTAAATTGCACATATTACTTTTGTTAATTGAAGTTGTTTTTTTACTTCTCTTCAAGCTTCAAGTTCTCTTTGGCTCGCTGACAGCCAACATTTTGTGCTGTGCAGCAGAATGAGGATATGGATACGAAAGCTAAGAAAACGAATGAGTATGTGACTCCACACGTTAAACACCTTAAATTTTTTCATTAAATAATTTGAATCTGTTCATCCTTGCACAATTGTAAAAAATATCCAATATCCAATTTTAAATGCGTTGGATTCAAGTAATTCTTATTTATTTGGAATCACAGTTTATACGTTTTGACACAATACATTGAAAAAAAAAATAATACTTTTCGCTTCACTTTACCGCCTTTTTTCATTACTCAGACTGAACTTTACACTCATGTATCCTTAACTAAACTAAAATACGATTATTTGTGGATAACAACACTCTCCTTTGGTTATTTTTGAAAACAACCCCTAACTACGGAAATGTACAACTTGAAAGCTTCCAGCCTTACTTCATGCGTACATACATACATCAAACATCTAAATGCAGGGAAAGCTCTTTAGTTTCCTTATTTAATAGTTTTAATTGTTGCTTCCTTGAGTGCTTCTATGCTTCTATGCTTCTTACGCATTCCTCGCTGTGCTTATGCTGTGCTTTCGTTCTTAATTTCATAAATTTTAAATTTCTGAATAGCTTCATCATCACATATTTTTTCCCTACATCCTGTTTCTTATTGAAAGATAATAATATATATAATATAAACATAAATATACAATATTATAATATAAAATATAAAAATAAATATATATACTATTTATAATATTTATATAAATATAAATATAAAAATAAAAATATATATTTTTTTTGAACAAAAATAAAACATATATTTTTTTAAGAAATTCTATCATTTTATGGAATGATAAAATTCTTCTTCTTCTTTATTAAAGGATTAAATCCTGTTTTGTCACAACAATTGAATCGGACATATTTATGTGAAATGATGACATATCAAATTATTATGTTTCCGTAGAACCTGACGTCCAGCATTCACGCCATTCACGCTGTTGGTTGGTTTCTATACCATTGCAATCTTGGCCAGGCAATGATTTTTCATTCTTTCAACATACAGATTCCACTCCTTCCGTCCTCGCCTACTCCATTTAATTATGTCCGACACCTTGCAGATTCGCCTAATGATGTCATTGCTCATTCGGTCCTTACGGCTAAAGCCAGTTATCGAGTGCAAAATGTGCATTTCAGTTTTGGATATAGCATATTCGGTGGTTTTTATATCGGCACTTGTTTCAATGGCATATGTCTATATAGGTCTAACGCACGTTTTATATATCCGGACTTTTCCCTAAGCGAGCCGATAAAATTAAAGATAGAAATGATAATACAATCATACGTCAGGCTGTTATTTAAGTGCCATAATCTGAAGTACGCCTACAAATTAAAAAAAAAAACCTGTTTAACACACAGACTATAAAGTTTAACAATGTGCTTTTTAGTAGCACTGATATTATTATTGGGTTAGTGTAATCTACCTTTAAAATATATGGACAATAATTCCTGAGTAAAATTTCGAAAGCAGATTACAGCTCAATAATAATAATAAAAAATAATTACAACTCAAAAACTAGATTTAATATTTGAATATTTTTTAAAAATTTTAAATTTTAAATTTTTTTCGCATGTTATCTTATATATGTATGTTATGTAGAAAATTCGTCAGACATATTGATAGGACTTCCTTCATTGTCTTTTCTTCTTGTTTACAGCTTCTGCAATTCTGGGTTAAAGGGTTGCCAAATTTTTTAGATAGCCACTGCAATAATACAGAATTTTCAAATGAAACTATTAAAAATCTTGTTAGCAACTTTTTCAAGTTCTTATGAAAATCAAAATTCAAAATAAATTATTTTAATATACATCAAAATGAAATTAATATTTATCAACAATAAATTTATACTTTTTACAATATCTAGACTACAACTGATTTTAGCAGTCATATATGTAATAATTTCAATTGAAAAAAAACCAGGGTCAAACGAGAGCTTAAAGTTTCAATAAAGCTTTTTCAGTTATTTGTGTTAAGTGCCTTCACGTCGTTTAGTACTCTGAAGATTCTTTTCTTATAAATATATGTGGCCTATCCAGTCGTATTTGCACGTTTTGTCACCTGCTTTTACACTCATCTAGTTTATTGTTTTCTACAATAATTATTCCAATATTAATCCATGTTCTTAGAATATTACTTAAATATTTAATAACAAATTCACATTAGTTTCGTATTAGTTTCTGCTATGATAAACCATGTTGATAAGCCTGAAGTATATAGTAGCAACCTGTGCTGGTATTTCTAAAAAAATAATATTTATAAATTTTAATATATATATAGAGCTTTATTTTTTCCCTTACAACTCAACATCAATACTCACTTCGGTATTTCACATACATATGTGACAAAAAAGTAGTCTCCTGTTATATAAAAAATAACACCGATTTTTTAAGTTTAACTGCAACAAAATGAATTTCATCGAAATTATAACCCTACTACAGGAGCAATACAGCAAATAAAGAAACTCTACGTCCACATTCCAAAGCTACTTATCTGCGATGACCAATTCGATGTACGACAAGCAATTCAAACATTAAAAAAATTTTTATATTTCAAATAGTTAAATATTATATATATATAATAAGTATATTAAATAAATTTTTTATTGATATATTAGCCTATCATTAATTTATTGTCCACACATATTCATATAATTAAACTATTATATGATTATAATATGACACATTAAACTTATTGGATGCCTTCTGACCAAATGCTCATGCAATTCTAACAAATCTGACCTTATATTGGGAATATTCAGACCAGACTTGATAACTTGGTATTGTCATTAATTTTAAAAGAGAATGTATGTGTAAATAACCGATTTCGTATAAATCAATATTTCAGAATAACAACAGATTTTCAGTTTCTTATTATTTTATTAATTAAAATTATAACTATTAAAATATTACGTGACCTAATTTTTTTCTATAATAATTTAATTAATTAATTGCCTTTGATATATGAAATCTTCAGAATGTAGGATGATTGCGTATGAAGTAAACTTCAGATTCCTTCTCGACCCATTTCAATAATTTATCAACATTCTTAATCACAGTGCTTTTGTCTACTGTTGGTTCGAACACTGCATATAATCCATATGCTGCAGTTATCCACGCCAACACCACTTCATGTTCTCTTACTTCGTATATCAGTTTCAGTGGACATGAGGAGTTTTGTATGCGGTGCAATAAATCACAATAAATTGTCTGAAGACGTTTAAATTGTTCTAATGTTGTGTAGGGCGATACCAACTCTGAGCACAGTAATTGTGCAATAGATTTGGGTTTGTACAGAAAATGCCGTAAATCAGGTACACCTATTGTACTTAACTTTAATTTTACATCACAACGGACTTTAATGGCTTCGTTTATTGCATCAAGACAATGATTACGACGTAGTTTCTCGGTAATACGACTTTTAGCATCAGAAAGCGTAAAGAAAGCATCTCGGTCAACTGAAAGCAATAAAAGGCAGGCTTGACAATCATCAGACAAATATGAAACGTGTGCATGCAAATAACCGTTCATATCGAACTTAGGTAAACATATTGGTGTCCAATTTTCAGAAGCCTTAAACGATTCCGAGCATTCTATTAAATTAAAAATAAGTCTGAAAAATGAATTAAAAATTGTTAGCATATATAAAAAACAGTGAACAGTGTGTTCTATTGGTAGTTTTATAGTTTAATAGTAGAAATGATATGACTAATTCAATGATACAGATATTTTTATCAGTCTGTCTTATCTATCTATCTTTTTTGCACTGTATAAATGTAGATGATTATATTATATTAGAGCACTGCATTTATTAAAATAATTTTAAAAATAAAATATATATTTATTTACCTTAAATCTGCCGGGTGTATCGAATACTTTTTCATTCGAACCAGAGATATAAGCTTATTGTTTGCTATTAAAACTGCAAAAACTAAATTCTTTATTTTTGAGCAATTACTTTGGATTGCGCTAGCAATGCTTGATCGCACTGCTGTTGATAGGGGCAGTACTCTAATAGAATTTGTCAGAGATGCAAAGACGTTGTTTGTTACTACGAAGAAAGAAAAATTATCTAATTTGTTATAAACTTAGACACAAATATTTACTTTTATTTCCATTATAATTAGAGAGCAGGTTGTATATCAAACGTTCACTTCCAGACAATAGACGCCTTAAATCAAAATTTTTCCTTTTTTCAAATATTTTATTCATATGCGAATACGTTAATGTGGATAAAATTTGACTATACACATCGCTATGAAAAACAAAAAAGTCAGATAAATGGCTAACAAACTATATTGACATTTACCTTAACTGCATTTGCAATTGTTGAACACTCATATTACTTCTAGAAGCAGCTACTAGTATAAGTGAGTTTCTTACGAGAAACACAAATTTGATGCTATGAGCATGTATGGATATGATAGCATCCTGTCCATGTTGCACAAAACTTACAAGTGCTTGGATAACTCCAAATATTGTTGCTAATTTATCTTCACTTCCATGAAGCGAATATATTGGCTTACCAGCTTCACTTAATATAAATATGTGCTCACATTTATTTTTCCATTCTTCGTTATTCATGTAATCACTTTCCTCATCCTCTACAGCTAGGTTGGAAAATTTGTTTGATACTGCTAAGCTTGTATCTGACGACGTCATCGAATTTAACTCTACGCTTCTTTGGTCACTTTGTGAAGAAACTGATTTTTGCATTTCACTTTCATTGTTGCATGATACATTTGAGTCAATTTCCTGATTTTTAACAATCTCTGAAATTGTACCATGCGGCTCCTCATCAAGATCTTGCTCTGCATCGTGAAAGCAGTCGCTATCTGTGTTATCTTGTTCGATTACTCCCATTTGTTGACATTCTTCGCTTGAAGTTGTTTTTTCTGGATGGCGTAATTTTGTATCCATTAGAATTAAAATATTTATTAAATACTCTCCAACATTCAAATATTTTACATACTGCTTTTACTTATTACAAATTTATTTCATTAAGAATGTCTTATACAGTAATGGTTAATGTTTAATGGTTAATTGTAAGCAATTTCAATCCACTGAAACACAAACTCAGCTGACAGGGTTGCCACAATGCTTTCTAACCTATATTATAAAAGCTAATAAACTTAATAAAATAATTTATCTGATTAAGTTTATTTTTCAAAATTAAGGGTGCAACTAAAGTAATTTAAATTGGCAATTTTAATGAGGTGTAATTATATCAGTACTTATATTACAATCAAAATTACTAATGTACATAATGAGGTGATATACCTTTTTAGAATTTTATTTATTTATTGTAAAAACACAACTCTGCGTTTTATTTAACTTGACGTTTCACAGCGAAAAATCCGCATTTGTGGTTACGAAGTTTGAGAAAATATAGAAAGCAGTATGTTCGGTATGTTAAAATTAATTTATATTAGAGATTTTACAATGAAGTATCTACATTAATTAATTTTTTTATAGCTGGAAGGATTAGCTTAAATATAGGTAGAAGTACATTAAAACTTATGTCATGTCGTTCACAATCAACAATACTAAATGTATCTCCCGAGTTAAAAGAGGAACAACATGGACCAAAAGATATCAGTACATTTGAACAAGAGTTTTTAAAACATCCAGATTACTTTCAAGTTCACAATATGTTTACTGTAAGTGATTTGTTTAATGCCCGCGTTCATTACGGCCATAAAATTGGTTCACTAGACGAACGTATGCGGCCATACGTGTATGGATCACGTTTAGGTCACATAATATTTGATTTAGACAAAACTGCCTCAAATTTAAGAGATGCACTCAATTTCGTAGCACATATTGCTTTTCGTGATGGTATTATTTTGTTTTTAAATCGTAATGCGTTAAATGGGCATTTAGTGGAGAAAAAAGCTATGGAAGCAGGAGAATTTTCACACACCAGATTTTGGCGTGGTGGTATCTTTACAAATGCCAATATACAATTTGGTGCTGTCACACGGTTGCCTGACCTTTGTATATTTCTTAATATACAAAACAATGTTTTAACACAGCATGTTGCGGTACGAGATGCAGCCAAAATGGCAATTCCTACAGTTGGCATAGTTGATAGTAATTGCAATCCAAATCTGATTACTTATCCAGTACCGGGTAATGATGACTCGCCTGCAGCAATTGAATTATATTGTAATTTGTTTAAGGAAGCAATATTACGTGGTAAAAACAAAAGACGAGAATTATTTGGAGAGTCTGAAAATATCACTAAAGTATAGAAATCGCCAATGAGTAAACGCAGCTTTAGACAATTAATAAAAGTAATTCTACAAATGCAATTAGTTTTTAATAACAAATATTGTTAATTAGTTTTTAATAAAAATCAAATTTGATATGTTCGATAATTAAGTTATTTCTAAAATATGTGTTTATAGGATAATTACTGGATTACAAATGTACTCTGCATATATGTACTTGTGATAAGGACCTTCCATATAAACATTTACTAACTGAATCATAATACAAAAGGCAAGTGTCAATTATTCAATTCAATATACTAATAAGTAGTCAATGGATTACTATATTGACAACAGACAACCAGTTTCCACTCATTTCTTCTATTTGGAACACAAATGGATGGTCACCTATTTGAGCTATAACAACCGTAACAGTATTTTTAATAAAAATAGTCGCATTGATGGAATTTGACTTTAAATAAACATTCCTGGTGCAATAAGTTTAATTATAAGTGATAAATAAATTTTATAAACAAATAATAGTCAGTTGAACATATAAACTCATATGATCTACATGTTAATCAAATTTTCTAGACGATGAAATAAAAATATCCCATATACATATGTATATATATCACCCTAAGTTTGTTAATCCATTAAGTACCAGGCAATTTCAGACTTGGAATTTTACGGTGAAATTTCCATAATAAATAGTAAAATAAAACGATTTTAATATTTATTTGAAATATTACTCTCACTTTATATTTACCTAAAAAAGATAAAATATTTAAAGCTAGCCGTATGGGTTAAGCAGATTTGTAGACAGATTTATTAAATTTTACATAGCATTATAGTTCGACTATATATACCAATGAACAAAAAGAACTCTACGTTTTAAAATTTAATAATGATATTAGTTGTAATGATTGTAGCTGAATATGAAAGTAAAATTGAATTAAATATATAACATATGTATATGTATGCAATAATTAATTAATACATATTTTACGCCTTTAAAAGTAATCGAATGACTTTCCATTCGTTATATTATTTTATAACTTAAATTCATATTATCTTGAGGACAATTGTTTTTGATTGAAAATTTCTTGATGAGTGGTGAAAAATTTTCTCTAAAACATTTGAAAAACGAATAATGCTAAATTGATTGTCAAATTAAAATCATAAATCAATATTTCTATGTTGTTGCTATATTGCTATATTACTATCCACTAACAAAAGGCAATAATATGGTATTCAAAACTTGATCGTTATGGACGAACTATTTCTAGACATACACGGTACTGTTTAAAATTTCTACTATACACAACAGTTATTGATTGTTCTTGATTATACTTTCGAATATCGTTTGATTGTCACATTATCACTATCTTGTCAATTACTCCATCAGTACAAAAAAATCTATAAAATGTATTATTATCCACGAAGTTATATAACAAGACCTATGACAAGTTTGTAATCAAAATAGGTCTAAACTCAAATTAATGACTGATTTCTAAACTGCTCATGCTTCGTCGAAGTGGCACCTCTTATACACTTATAGATATTATGAAAAGTTGAGTCAAACATTCGCTTATTTTTTTCTGTTCGAAGAAACGAAACCATCAGCGAAACCTTCAGCTGAAAAAGTTTAATTGGACTCATCATACTTTATGGAAAGCGTAAAAAAAAAGTATAGGTGATCTAGTTTATTAACCGCAATCTGACAGAAGAACAGGTCATCCGGAGACTATATAGTGGTGCTCCACATTAGCAGAAATAAATTCGGTACCTTCTTCGATGATAGACAGTGTAGTCAACTTTCGGCCAGAAAAAGATATTGAAAATTAAAAGAACTACTGCACACAAGTTAGACAGTATATGTCTGGAATAGAGACAGTTTAAAATTTCTTATGTTAAACAAGATTTTATTTTTTTTTATAATCTTGATTATAGTTTGACTCTACTGCTCACAGTTACTTTGTACTGGCATTTTTTGATCATTTTAATAATTATTATTATATATTATTGTTGTAGATATTGTATTATCATCAGTAATGTTTGAAAATGATTTAAATGTGTTTTCTTCATTAAGCTCAAGCTCTGAAGAGAGTATGATACTCCAAACGTGACAACTCTATTATCTCTTATTAATTTCCATTTGTTTATTAAAGACATTTGTTAATTAATAATTTAATTTATAAACTGCGTCGTGTATTAGATGTGAAAGTACAAATGAAAATTAAGTGGATATTCGCAAATCCAACATTTTTCATATCAAGCAAAAATGTAACAGTTTTACTGACTGAAGGAGTCAGTAAAACTGTTATACTCCTTTGCGCATAATCAATAAATTAAATAATAAATATTGTTGACGTTCAATAATAGTGCTTAAAAAAATTATTTACTATTCATAAACACTGTTTTAGTCGTAATAATCTATTATGAAATTATTTTTCCATTTTACTAAAATATTATATTAGTCCTGTGATAACAAATTCCATAAATCCGAGTTTCTATACTTAAAACCGTAATTTTCACTACATACAAATATCAAACGAACCTTCGTTGCTCAAGACGATCATAAAAGAAAATTATGAAAGATAGTGTCTATAAGCACTATATCCAACACAAATATCTAGCGCACTTCAGATGTGTACAATTATTAAAAATAATATAAAACCTCCTAACGTTATATGTTAATGTCATTATTAAATTTATAAATAGATTTGTACAGTTATTTGATATCTGATAGTATTTGCAGATTCAGAAAAAGTATTCAATTGAATGTATCAAGTTCTAAGCTCTGTACTCTCTGTCTACTTTGCTCTCCTGTCCGATCATTTGTTTTTAGAGTAATTTAACATTTTTGTATTTAGTTGTATTTATATTTATATTTTTCATAAATACACACACATATATATGTCGAATCCAATTACACTTTATCTTTCAAGTCTTGTTACTCTGGCAAAATATCTAGACTGTTGTAATTTAATCTCGAGTTTTATACATTTTGCTCGAGATTTACCAATCAAACATAAAAATTGCACTAAAATTGGATCTCAATTGAAGAAATTACCCCAGATTCATCAATTGAAAACGGCATTAGAACTATATCTGGATTCACAAGTATAAAATAACATGAAATGCATTTTATTAACTTATATTTATTATGTATTAATTTAAGTGATACAATGTCAAAATATAAAAAAAAAAGTATTCAAATAATATTATATAGTATACAGATATATGTATGTATATATCCATATATATATATGTAAATAAGATAATAAAAATATTATAATAATATATGTATGGTATAACGTTTGAAATGTTAAAATCCAGCCATTTTGTGAACAGTACAATAAGTACGCTTATTACAATACGTGGCCCTAATCCCAATAGCACTTATATCAAATAGTTAAGATTAAATGGAACGATCCATTTTAAATCGGAATATCTGGGATAATTAAAACTAAACTAAACATATTTCTAATGTTTGTCCTTGTAGTTGAGGAGCAGTGGTATTTATTTAGCGAATTTAAGTCTCGCGTAGCACTGGTAGGTTTATCCATTTAACAAGATAACTTGTCAAAGCAGACATCCTTTAATTTAAGAAGTACCATCTGAAATACATAGTTAACTGCAAGATATTCCTCTTATGTTCAGCACGCTAAGAGCAGTTGACATGGTTCCTTGTTTTTATATTGGAACGGGCTTCTATATTTTGGACTATAACAAAGTAATTATAACCTTATACTATTATACAAAAAAAAAAATATATATATATGTATATACTTATTAAATTTGGAGTACTGTGAAAGTTGGTCTTTGGGGCATTCTATGTTTGAGTTATAAAAATCTTACGCTAGTTTGGTTTTTATTTCATTTATGCTATTAATATTGTTAATTAGTCTTATTTACTTGTTAAATACAAACAATTTTTCAAAAATGGGAACTACGATTAACACAATCGCTTTACTTTCAATTTGATTTACAATTCAGTACAAAGTTCTTACATATGTGTCCCAGAGCCCAACCCCAGTACCCAGAGCTTATATTAATGATATCGATTATGCTTCATATACTCATTTACATTCAGCATATTCAGCCATCGTAACAAATGGATCGATCATAACCGAGCTAAATAATTTTCATAAAATTTTACTTCACCGCTCTCACGCAACAGGAGCTTAAGCGATATAATGACGAACTTGTAATTGTAATTGTAATTATAATTGTAATTTCTTAAAGGTATAGACATTTTTATCTAAAACAGGAGAGAACTAAGTATGTATAATATTTGCATGTCTGGTAGTGTTTATAGTTTTATGTGTAAATTAAACAGTGGATACTTATCGAAATAAATGGGAGTTGAAGAGTCCATTAATTGAGTTGTTTTTGTAATTGTTTGAGGAATTGTTCAAGGGAGCCCATTGGTTGCTGCTACCTCCATTAAGACTGCCATTTCGTTGCTTCCATTGACCTGCCCATTGTGCATTCTGTCCGGCCTGCCGAATACCACCAACAAGTTCGAAAGATCGGTTTGCCGATTCTGGTTGATTGAACTTGCTTAATGGTGAGCTGTTTTGTTTTCTAATATATATTTGTAATTTGCTCTTGTTTAATTGGTCCCAAGGCGATGGTGACCGCTCTTCATTGCCATCCAGTGGCTCATCAGGGAAATCATCATAACCACTGCAATAATTGCTTAGATTTTGACCTGGTGGCATACCTTTTTGGTCCTGATTGCGTATCCAGCGCATTGCTGACTTTTGGCTTAACATCATTTTATGTGCTGAAACTGTCTCCTGGGCACGTTGCAACCTTACGCGTTCCTTTTGATCGAGATCTTCAGGATTACGTTTACCTAGTCGTTGAATGGTGCGTTTAGCGTTTGCGAATTCCCGGTTTTTAAATGGTTTCATAGCTTGTCTATACTCTCGCCACATGCGCTGTTTCTCCTCCTTAGTCTCAGGTGTTACGGCGTGCATTGGTGGTGGCATTGGAGGCTTAAGTACCCAAGTATTTTGTACATTTTTTTGATTTGGATGATTTTGTGAACCGTTATTTACACGATTAGGCCCATTAACTTTCGTCACATTCGGTGCAGCATTTTGATTTGGTGAGCGATGTGACATGTTGTTACGGTTCCAGTTATTTTTTTGAGGCATCTTTTGGTTAGTTACCTTACCCGTGTTGTTATTTGCATAATTCTGAGAACGAGTGTTGTTGCTAGTTGGAAGTGACGGAGATTGTGACGAAGAAGCTGCTTGATTTAGGGCGCGTTTATATAGTTTCCAATCGCTAAACGACATATCAATATTCTTCGACTCATCGAGCTGCTGGCGTGAAATAGTTTTCATGGGATCCGTTCCATGGTTAAAAGTTGTTTCAGCCCATTGCAAACGCAATTGCTCTTCCTCTTCAGGAGTTATCTTTTGAAACAACCGAAATTCATTGCTCATCCTGATGTCCGGATTGCTGGTCACAACTTATTTCAAATATTGCCGTTAAATTGGAACGTAGTTAGTTAGGACGGACACAAACCACTCAATATTTCCAAACTTTTAACGCAAATTTTATTTATTTATTATTTATACACGAAAAGAAATTTTATTTTAACTTTCTATCTATACTGATATTTTGTGTAGACACATATTTGACAAATCCATATTGATTTTCTTATATATACTCGCGTACATCTGCTTACTAGATAATGCACTTTTAAGATATCGAGTGCCATATGTGAACTAAACTCTTACAATTTTTTCTAAAAATTATTACTTTCTTTAAAAATGATCACATAATAATGAATTAATTGAAGAAAAACTTTATTTAATGTCGTATAACATGAAGAAATATCATGATTCATATTATTATACATACTTATCTTGAATATAATTTCGCAAATTATTGAATAGGTTCTTTTCTGTGCTATTTATTATGCGTAAACTGTTTTATCGACAATTCTGCGATTGTGTTTATTATGTGTAAGAAACAATTTGCTGCTTTGTGTTATACACAATATTTCAAATTTTGTGTATCTTTTGGCTACTTTACCTGATGCAACATTAGTTTCTTTGTTTTGTCTTTTGCAAGAGTGTGCGTCATAGGCACTGTCGCCTACCTGAAATGAATTGTCTAAAGCAAACGCTACGAAAATGTAATTACTTGCGTCTTTTTTGTTGTTACTCGTTATGTACACATTTCTGTTTGTTAAAGTTTTTTTTGTATTTCAAATTCATTATTTCTCGTTTGCACAGGAGCGAATTTATTGTCAACTTTTATGAGTATATGCAATTTTGTAAAATATTGATAATAAAATTCACTAAATTCAAAAAAAAAGTTGTTAAGAAAAGAGAATTATTGTCTACTTATTTTTAAGATGAATAAAAATTATGGATATAGTATTAAGCGTCCTTAATGTGAAAAATATCATATTTTCGGTTTGGCAATACATCACAAATTAAACATAGACCAGTTAAAATTATTGCATCCCTTTATTTTGGAGAGTGTGATAGACTGCTTGACACCGAAACTGGTTCCTTAGTGACACCAGTTAGAAATAACGTTTAGCAAAACCACAATAACTGAGTTTCGTCAGGGGGATAAGAATGTGCTTATTGAATTTTAATTACTAAAAAATCTATTAGGTCTAATACCTAATTCTCATATACAATGAAAGAACATTTCTTTGTTATAACCACAAACATTTACATGTTAGTTCCTTTGACGACCTACTCATTGACTTTTTCTCAAATATACGCTTATTCGATGGATTTTGAAGAATGAAATTCATTTATTAAAGTGAATGCCTTAAGAAAACTATTTCGGTATCACTATCCAGTAAGTGCATTCAAAATACTATACCATATGTGAAATATTGCTCCAATCACTCAAACAAATCTATATATATTTGTTATATATTTTATGCAGCAAATGTAAATTCAAAATAAAGTAAAAATAATCCAATGTATATGGAATTAACGTTGTATTTCGCATAAACCAAACCTGAATATATCATTTAGTAATTCCACTCCTTATAAATACTATTTAATGAAAATGCACTGTATAAATTTCGCGCGTGTGTGTGTGTGTGTGTGTGTGTGTGATGTTTTGGAAGGTAAAATATTTTCTTCTACAAAATATTCATAAAATAATCATAAAAATTCTTGCCAATCACGTCGATCTAAGCTAGCGCGTACACAAACACGGTACGGTATTCTAATACTTTCAACTGAAAATCGTATCGGTAATACAGTATATCAATTATCTGCACCATACAAGGCAGCCATTTTGATTATGAAATAAAACAGAAAGTAAAATGTTATATGAGTTCCACTTTTTTTAGCTCTCAATAGCAAAATTTAAAAATTATAAGAAATAATAAAATTCGATGATCATTTAGTGCAAAAATAATAAATTCTATAAGATGTCGCAGTTCGCTCTTATACACTTTAGAGCTTTCGTTGAAGCATACCAACATTAGGTGTCCAATGAACACAATCCACATTTTCTACACACCGTATACTTTGTTATTATGATTTTAACAGAAATTAATACAATTCTGTTAAAGAAAGTAAGATCACAATATTCATTTGTAATAATTGTTTATATGACGTCTTCACTAGGCAAAGCAAATTGTTGCTTATTTTTACTACTTTAAGCAGATCAATTTTTTGTAAAAATTTATTAATGAAAGAAAATGTTTGCTTATTTACTTGAAGAAAACAAGCAATGTAGAAAAAAATGAAGGGACATATGTACATATGCATATATTCTCTATATATTTATTTATATCACTTTATAAAAATTTATTTGAAGAAAACAAGTTTCAAATCATATTTTAATTGTTTTTATTTTATGTGTACTTGTTTTGATAGCCACAGTATTTTATAAATTTTAGAAGCAACGATAATTTGTCCATTGGCACTTAATTTCAATTAAACTGCGTTGAATAATATTAGGTACACTATTCCTGTTGTATGTTTTATTGTTAAATACATACGTCTTTTTGTTGGGAGTGAAATATATCTAACCCAAACATATCCACAAAAGTTATACAATGTAGTATAATTAATTCTACAAACTTATTTTAAATAATTTATTATTATATGTATAACTATTTAAATTAATAGTTATTAATTTTAAGCATATTATAGTACATTTATTATAATATTATAATATAACTATTAAAATTGATATATTTAAACATATTAAAAATAAATTAATTAACTAGAATATTACTATAACATATTTTTCAATAAAACATATCATAGAAAAAGTGTACCAAATTTTATTCAAGGCAGTTTAATTCATTTAATGTGTCAATGCATAAATGATCGTTGCTTCTAATATTTAAAATTATTTTAGCAATCAATATATATAAATATGTGGAGAATATGTGCATATGTACATATGTAACAATAATTTTTTGTTACAATACTTGTTTTCTTCAAGTAAATAAGCAAACATTTTCTTTCATTAATAAATTTTTACAAAAAATTGATCTGCTTAAAGTAGTAAAAATAAGCAACAATTTGCTTTGCCTAGGGAAGACGTCATATAAACAATTATTACAAATGAATATTGTGATCTTACTTTCTTTAACAGAATTGTATTAATTTCTGTTAAAATCATAATAACAAAATATACGGTGTGTAGAAAATGTGGATTGTGTTCATTGGACACCTAATGTTGGTATGCTTCAACGAAAGCTCTAAAGTGTATAAGAGCGAACTGCGACATCTTATAGAATTTATTATTTTTGTGGAATACAGTTTAACTCACCGTCTCCGGCAGCTTTGCTTATATGTGTGAGCAGAGTATGTGGTTTACAAAAAGTTTAATGACTGGTCCAGTCCGCATGTCTAACAGCTATAAAATAATAAATTACATTTGATTTCGTTATATATCTTATGTTAATAGCGTATTAATTGCTAACCCTTCTAGAATAAAAGTAGAACAGAGGAATAGGCCACTAAAATCTAATTCTTTTTCTATAAAAATCAAATACATGAATTTAATTTTTAAGTATTTATCGTTATTTGTCATCCATATGTGCCCTGGAAAAATTATTTTAGAATTATTATTTGAAGAGTGTATCATTATAAAAAAATTTTTAATAAATATGTGACATTACTGACATGATTTAATTTTTTAATTATTTATTATTATTTTTCATGTATTTTCCAACTCATCGTACTATTTGAAATTTGTTAGTATTTCGGGACGAAATCATATAAGCACTATAATTTGTGCGTTCAAGTTGCCATAAAGATTGTTGTAATCACAATTTACATTACCAATGGTACAAACGTAAATTCTTAAATGACTCCTAACTGTTTATATTTAATCAGTGTCAACTGTTATTGACCTGGATATCTACATAAAAACGTTTAAGAAAACACAAAAAGGCGGGATAATCGCTATTTAATACGAATTTTGCTAAAATTGATTATTCTGAGAAAGTTTTTCTATTACGGTACATATAGCTATGGATGTTTTTAATCTTATAGGACATTCAAGGTAAACCATTTATTGCACTTAACGAAAATCGAATTCAACTAAAATGTTTTTAACATTCGTTATTTGTGGTTACCAAACACAAATCTATTTGATTAAATTATGAGTGAAACATTTGTTTCTTGCCTTCATAGAATCCACACAAACAATTGTAGATGTGATAAGAATCATTCCATAAAAAGTTTTTCACGTAGCGACATCTATGAATTATTGGTCACAAACGTTATGTGTTTATGGACGATGAGTTTAAAGATTTTATAGCTGTCCGACTATCAGTAAATATGTTTATATAATTAACGGAGGCAGCATTGGGTTTCAGCCAATCCGAAAATTCCCCTATAGCATATACTTCAGCTTGGAATATAATCCTCCTCCTACTTGTTCATCTAAGTTTGAGTCATCTATGAAAAAGTTAAGACAATTATCACTCTTTACAGAGTAGCGTTCCCACGCCTCCCTACAAGAAATGAATAATTCAAAAAATCTGTCCACGATTGTGATCGTAGCACAGTAATCTGTTGTATCTGGAATAAAGTCAATTCCTTTGAAAATGGAATCATACTCCCATCCACAGCTTCCTAATTTCCTAATCCGTAAAGCTGCCCCAGCTACCATGCCTTTTGCAGCGATGTTGATAGGTTAAACATTGAAGATGGCATTTAGGGCAAGTGACGGCGTTGATTTTAACGCTTCACTTAATGCCATCAGTACAGTCCTTTGAAACTTTTCCAGTTTTTTGCATAGTGTTGACTGTATACCATACAGGAGAATCGATCTTACCACCACATTATATATTCATAGAATAGACTTCGGGAAAAGGTTCTATCTTTTACCTATGGTGCCTCTACAACAGTAAAAAGCAACCATAGCCTTTTGAGTACGCCCAATAACATTAGGTCACCAATTCAGTTTTCTATCAATTATATGCCCTAAGTATTTGACTTTATCATTTAGAGCCAGAATTTTCTGCCGAAAGCACCTACTGTAGTCGCTTTTCTTGATTGCGTTGAAAAGGCTGGTGTCCTTGGTTGGGTTGTTGTAGTCCTTGTTGATTGTACATCCCTTTCAAACCAAAAACATAGTTATTATACTTTCTACTATTTTTTACTGTATCAAAACAAATTGTAGTATTCATTAGACGTAAATTTTTCTTTCAGAGTACCAAAAAGATATTCGCACTTACGAAAGAAAACATGTGAAGCAACAACAATGCTCCTAAAATCTTCAGAATTAGGTTTTACTAGCAAAAAATTTGAAATCTTTAGTTAAAAATCAGTCTATTGTGAATGTTTACTGGAAATATGTTGCAAAATTCCAGTCATCCGTTAAAATTATATGAGCATTTCATTTACTAATAAATTCCAATACATAAATAACTTAAATTATATATATAAGATAAAAATACTTATCATTGCTCTTCTAATAGTATTAATTTTGTTTACATTTATTTAAATTCATTAGTTTTTAGTTTAAAATTTTTTTATATATCTACTATATTGTACACAGCACAACAAGAAATATATGTCAGAAAAAGCAAAGCAGAGTGATGACACAAGTGATTGTGTCAATCAGAAAAGACTCTAGCTCTTTTCTTTTGTAAGCATATCGCAAAAGAACAACCGCTTATTTTAAAAATAACTTATTAGTCCAACCTTTTTAAAATCGCTTAACTAATAAGCAGCTTAAATCGCATGGTTACCAAGACTAAAAATTCGTCTATTATAAATTATTTTCGGAAGTACATACGAAATTTCCAGTTAAATGTCAACAAATGTTCGTAACAAATACGTTACTTTTTTCTATTCATGTAAAATCATGAAAAAAATAATTTCTTACTAATAATTGCAAAGAATTATTATTCATTGCGTAACAAAATTTCCATTTTGTCCATTCCATTTTGAAGAAAAAATACGGCTATTATTACAAAAAAAATTGAGGTTTATTATGAGCTCCAAGTAAGCTTTATACAATACAATATACTTCTTTATTTTTAGTACGGGAACACTAACTATAAAAAATTCTACCAACTTTTTGATATATTTTATTAAAAATACATCTCTGAACAGATCTATTACCATAAAAGCTTCTGCTTGAATGTACTGCTAGTAACACACGATAAAAGTTATGAATGAATAATCTGCGTGCTTAGGTGCAACACTGTTTTACGTATTTTCTAGTTTTCTATCTTTGTTGACTTTTCTCTTTACTCATTGTCTCACTTCATTGTTTTTCTCGTTTTTATCGTGGAGCTGTTAAATATTTTATATGATATTAATATTCGTATTAATAAAAAACTAAAATATTGTTTAATTTAAATTGAAACAATATTTTGTTGCATATTTAAAACAGACAACAGCAATTACCCGTCACTTTGTAACGTGTTTACTCGCTGCTTCCTGGTAAGATATCAACAAATGAACGAGACGAATTAATTAATTAATATTTCACGAAGGCAAGAACTTTCAACTAAAATTTATCGAATTTGCATAAGTGTCTAAAAAAACCAAATCAAAAGTTTATATCTTTAAATCAAATAATTGAAATGTATAAGATACGATATCAACGAAAAAAGATATTTACGTCATTTCAATAAGAAAAAAAATAATTTTTTATTGTGAAGTGCATATTCTGCCTGCAAATGCTTTTGAGACGTTTGGCTTTTCAGCTAAGTAAACATAACAATTTGCTAAGCATATTCTATATAATTTACCAATAGTAAGTGAGCATCAATTTAATTTGTAAGTTTTTTTTTATAATTATAGCTTTATAAACTAAACTCATTACATAAATGAGATTATTATTATTTTTTAAGCGAGAAATGGAAGTGCCTTCCTGGAAACAAAAAGTTGCTTGCAATTACTAAGAAAAACATTTTCACAATTATAGAATTTATATAATTTGAGAAGCATTTAAAACACGGCAACGAAAGGAAAAAATAAAACAAGCACAGCTTATAAAGTATATTTATTTTAACTATACTTTTGGACAGAGTAGTGTTTTATTGACTCTGGTCCATGTATAAATTGAGGAATGGTACTATTGAAGCCGATAATTTAATTTCTCTCAAGATAAGTGGAGAACAAAAAGAAAAATCGTCTTTATCAAGTAATGTAATTCTTATATTTATATTTAATAAGTATATATATTTAAGCATTTACTATTGATTATCATCTTTCGTTTAACAACCGAAAGATAAATGCTTATTGTTAATCCTTTGGTCACATTTTTCTGAAGAACATTACGCACTCCAATTTATTTAGTTCTTATTCTAATACATATAATAAATTGTAAATATGAACATGTAATATGTTTTCCTATGTTGTAGGTATTGCAAAATGCTCGAAATGCTCAAGAATTTGAATCATACATTTAAAGGGTTTAAAAATGTTGGAACAACTTTAAAATATTAAAACTACTCAAATCGCAAATATTTTGTTTTTCATATACAAATACTCTTCACAACAAATGCTCAAACACAATATGATATTCGAACGTATTTAAGCGGTTCAAGCCGGTTGTGTTCGAGCACAATTATATTCGAACTTCAATATGCTTAAAGTCTTAAAGATAACGTATAATATATTAATTTCTAATTGATGTAAGCTTTAAATGGAATTGCATACCCGACTGCTAAATCCCCCACGAAGTTCTGCTTCAAACAAATTAGTGGACTATAATTTATACCATCCATGCAAAATAACTAAATATCGTAGTTTTCATGTCGAAAATAATACTTTTAAATATTGTTTTTTAAAAATTTTTTAAAAATAGTTAAAAAACTATGTTGATTATTAAAACTAAATTAAATTATTAATTTTAAAAATGTACAAAAAAAATTTTATCAAATTTAATTGCTCAGCCGTTCAAAAGACAATGCTCGTAGATTGTTTACAAAAAGAACTTATTTATAAACATAGATTGCTAATTTATATTCTCTTAATCATGAGATTTCTTGGTATAACAGCTTCTGCCAATCTCGATTGGCTTTCGCTTTTTGCGAAGATTAACTAGCGTCTACATTGGCAAAACTTTGGCAAGATTTTTACATAAACTCACTCTATAACTAGGCACATACAAATTTGTATTCATAAACAAAATTCGAAAATAATACGTATTTGCATTCGAACATAAAAATCTAATAAAAGTTCGAAGAAAGTGATGAAAATCCGTTTATCGTGGACAACGAAAGTGTTCGGCAAGTAGCCGATCCGAAATTCCTATTGTCGTGTTGTAGTTTTATTGTGGTAATAAACTCCATATTGTAGCATTAAATAAATCAACAGATTATTCCAATGATCACTGTTGTTCTATATATGGCAACATCCAAAACAATTGTATGGTCAGTTCAAGAGTTTACTTGATTAAAAATATTTATTTTTTTGATTTGAAAATTTTTTTGACTATTTTCGCAATAGATTTTTGGTCACAAAACAAAAAATTTCTAATTAAAAATCTATCCTATTATATAGTTTTATATTGCGTTAACATCAATGAGGCCGAATACAAACGTGGACTTATACCACTCCACACTAATGCAGTATCTTCTTCGAGACCTAGGTTTACTACCAACAAGGTTCTCAACAGGCCTTCGCCTAATATCTCCCAGGAAGAACGTCGTTTCCACCGTGCAGCAAAAACTGTCCTAGCTCAATTGAGATCATGATATAGCCATGTGCTTAACAGTACTTGTCACGCATAAACACGTCCAATCCTAATGTGTGCCCAAACTGACATATTGCACACACTAATTCAAGTCCTATCGATAGCTGGACTCCGATTGATTTCAATTATATACTTCCCATTATCCCCTTAACTCTAATCCTACTCATCTCCTCCTCTACTCATGTATTCGTCTTGTAATTCTTACATGTTATCTGCTTTTCAAATCCCAACGGGCTACAACAACAACATCAGACAAAACGGAAGTTACTACCGCACATATATGTATATGTACTATGTGCATATGTATAATATAGTAATTATGTGTAGAAATTATATAACTAACTCTATCTCATTATATAAAATAATGACATAATTATTATACCTTCTGCTATTTTTACAATATTCAAAGCATACCTGGCAGTGGGTCTATACTCTTCTTTTTAATGCGTATCAATTATCTATTACAGTACACACTTTATTTTCATTTGTATTAATTTTTAATATTTTACGAGTATTTTACTTTAAAAATATTATAATATTTTTAATATTGTGGAAAAGTATTTATGTTTAATTACACCACACCCCCTAATGAACCAATATAATGCAAGAAAAAGTCTACTTGGTCAACCGTTTGAAAGATACGTGTGTGAATTTAAAAATCTCACTTCCAAAAAAAGTCAACCAAATTTCAAATTGTGATATTCCCCTTTAAACTTCTCTTAAGCTCTTCACATTGCAGGCTCTACGAATCGGTTGGCATAACAGAACGTACAAAATGAATCTTATTTTTTGTAGCTTTTTGTTATACGTAGTCACACGGTGACAGTCAGCTGGAACTAATGACTCAGGGCTTACATATATTATGCTAAATTAAGTTTTCACTTAATTATCATTAGATTATTAATAGCTTCTCTGTGTTGTGATTATGTGACGCATACCGTTTTCAATTGAAATACAAAGGAAACGTTTTTCTAAATTTAGTATTTTTTTTAATTTATTTTGTAGATTATTTATTTTTGTTATAATTTATTTATTAAATATCTGTTTGCTTTCCACTGCATTAAAGCTAATAAGAAGAATCATATTACATTTAGAGAGCATGAAAAGCTAACCACTAAAGCTTCTTTTAAAAAGGCTAACAAAAAAAATAATTTTGTTAAAAATTTTACTAGTTAATATTAATTAATTATTTATAGTTTTAGTCAGACATGGAGCTGCTGTGGTTTTAATAAATGTTCTTCTAAACTCAATCTTAATACTAAAGCAGATTTGTGACAACGGATTTTAGTTCAATCAGCTATTATGAGCAACTTTCTCCACTCCGCAATATGGAGAGGATATAACATACTCATACTCTATAACACATGATATAACATACTTCTCGAGAAATTGATGTTTTCGATGGTTCATTTACTAAAATCTGTTGTCAAATCGGTGTTCTCAAGAAATCAAAATCGTGTCGAAAAATTCATTAACTTTATATAAATAGATTACTACAAACAGATTGTGAATGCTGTTTAAACATCTACCATGTTTCTTATAGTAGTTATAGCTAATAAAAATAGATACATCATTCGCCCTCTTTCTGGCAGTTGTAGTTACATGTAGTAATCATTATTGGGTTTGAATGCATTTTTCCGTAACTAATTTTAACCTCAAGTCCCACTACTATTGAATATTTGGACAGCTGATATAACATTTTGTTTGTGAAAAAGTTTGTGGGATTTTGCGTAACAGTTTCTGTTTTGTTTCAATAAAATATCAATATATCAAATAAGTCAAATATCTAAAATGACTTTTGATGTGTATAATAAAGATGAATACCACTGCCAAACATTATTTTTCAAAATATCATTTCGGTAATTTTGACACGATAAACGCACTACCTACATTATGGAAGGCCAGTTGAAGCAGATAAAAAATATAAAATCATAGATTGATGCAAATCGTCGAATAACGACTGGTGCTTCAGATTTCATATTTCAAATTAAATTTTAAAAAATCAAAATAAGCATTAAGTTTATCCAGATTTATAAAATTAAGGCTTGACATAAGTAAATGTTGTCTTATTTATTTATATGCGCTCTATCACATAGATATAGCCAAGTATGTCTATGTGTGACCGATGTGATTGATCGATAACGAATTCTGCAGTTTTGTGCAGCAATTGATTCCCGATATTATTACAATTAGATTTTTTTGTAAATGATAAAATAATAGATAGTGAACAGAACTTCAATAATTATTTCATGGAAATAATATTTTTTTTTTGTTTGTCTTCTACTGGATTCACACAAGAGTTTTGGTTTGTAATTTTAGTTGTCATGTTTGTAATTTTAACTGTCAATTGTTGTTGCTTTCAATGCAAAATGAACCTTTTTGACAGCTGTATGAGCTATACAACAACATTAACATAGCGAAGAAGCGAAGAAAGTGCTTCGGCTAGAAAGATGTTTGATTCGACACCCGCAGGTGGAAAACGCGGTAGGACACCCGCATCTAAGGTGGAAGGACCAGGTGATTAACAATTTGGAGTTCACTCGATACTACTAACTGACGACAGCAAGCAACTAATCAGGCTGGCCGGCAAAGGACGACTCAAATCTGTAATGGTCAACTAAGTAAGTAAGCAAGTAAAATAACAAACAAAACTCTCGTGTGAATTCAGTATTAGAACTGTTTAAATTATTATAAATGAATTAAAAAGAATATATATCCTTGGGGCCCCGCTTACTGGCTATGTCCATACTATAACATCTTGTATTGTGATAGTGTTTGTTGCCATTCTGTCCTAATAAACGCAAGATTGCAGAACTCCTACGTACCCATTTTCAATCTTAATAAACTGATTACCCGTGATGATATAGTTGCCGCATATTATAGTTATTAAAAAAATTTGATATGCATTAGTTTCCACATCTTCAAAAATATGTTTTTATAAAACATATCAATTATATATAAAATAATTGATAGCTAATTTGATATGCAATGTGATTATCAAGGACTGTTTTGATTATGTATTATTCTGCAGTTCACTAAGACTTTTGTTTGCTTATTAAAAACAAAAAAAAATTGGTCTTGCTTTCAGTTCCGTTGTTGAAGAGAGTAGATGAGTAGATATGTAGATGCGTCACTGTATAGTCGACAAAACTGCTTTCAAGTCGCATTGCTTCACAACAGCGTTTTATATTCATATATAAATTCACATATCCATTTACGTTTCTGTTTCGCTTTGTGGTTAGCTCTAATGTATATAATAAATGTATATGTTTATATAATACATATGAATGTGTTGATATATATCTAAAAAATTGAAAAGTTTGCATTTGTCGTACGTGCTGTGTATAATAATGATTTCTCTCAATTTAAACGCACAGTAATCAATTCACATACTCGTACGGCTTGGAAAGATAAATAAAGAGCCTCTCATATTTCATTCTGAA